TTACGTTCCCCCACTCCACACTTTTCAAACGGAGGAAAATCTGAGATAAAGGAGACCAATTGATTAGCATATAACAATAATTACAAACACTCTTTCTCCACCATCTGCTAAAGTTTCAGTTTCACCATAAAGATTAAATCATTGAATCGTTATCTTAGATTTTGTACGAGCATATCAATGACTGTTTTTTTTATAAATTGTAAATAACATAATTTTCAATCATATATAATATACGATTTTTATGATTTATTGATTTGTAGGCAATCTTTTTTCATCTTTAGTTAGTAATTAAAATTATTAATAACGAAATTTTCCTAAATCCTCAAGCCAAATTTGTAAATACTTTGTAGGCTTAGAAAATGTCATCCTTTTTTTTTATAGTAACGACTGAACTTAAATATTTGATCATAGAATTGTTATCTTAGAATTGTTATCAAAAGGCTTAACAAAATATTTTCTCAATTGTTTTTCTTATATATTATAAATCATTAAGTCCTAATTGGTGGTGAATCTTTTAGAAAATAATTTTAATAGAAATTAGTGAAAGTATTCATTACCCTTTTCTTAAAATTGCCGAAAGCGTCTTGAAAAAAGAAGCTGTCATAAATTTGTTAGTATAAGTTGGATAAAAAAAAACACTTACAAGCTTGGACTAAAATAATTGTAAATATTTTCCCCCACAGCTAAAACGCCGTCGTTCGACAAGGATCGGGATTATATAGGCTTCGCCACCCTTCCAGAGCAAGTGCACCGGAAGTCGGTGAAGCGGGGCTTCGAGTTCACCCTGATGGTGGTCGGCGAGTCCGGGCTGGGCAAGTCCACCCTGATCAACAGCCTCTTCCTGGGCGATCTCTACAAGAACCGACAGATGCCCAATGTGGAGGAGCGGATCGAGAAGACGACGAAGGTGGAGAAGAAGACGATGGACATCGAGGAGCGGGGCGTGCGGCTCCGACTGACGGTGGTGGACACCCCGGGATTCGGGGATGCCATCAACTGCGAGGACAGCTGGCGCGTGTGCACCCAGTACATCGACGAGCAGTTCCGCCAGTACTTCACCGACGAGAGCGGACTCAATCGACGCAACATCCAGGACAACCGGGTGCACTGCTGCCTCTACTTCGTCCCGCCATGGGGCCACAGGTGAGTGGTACTTCAAATTCACCACGCAAAACTATCATTAAGGCAAGGAGTATTTGTTAAATGGTACAGCTTCAGAAATCTTTAAATATTAAATAAATAAATATGTTTTCATAGGCATTTATTTTTATGTATTTTATTAGTCATAATAAATATAAATACATTTTTAAGCTAACCCCAAAGTAAATACAAAAGGCGTTCTAAAAAACCCATTTGAGCAACTATTTATGCGTAATACTAAAAGATTAACTTGACTCTTGAGTAATGGGAACTATTGCTAAATAATGAATGTGATAAAAACACTTGTTATCTTTTAAACAAAATTTTTATTCGTGAACTGGTAGACTAATATTATTTATTCTACACCCAAAAAAAATTAAAGTTTAGTTTTAATAAGTTTGTCTTAAAAATAAAATACAGAAGATTAAGTATTAATTCAATACTAAATAAAGTAACCACTAACAGTTTTATTTTGATACTTTCGTGGTATTGATTTAATTATTGAGAAATTTTTAACAGCCCATAGTTTAAAATTCATGTAACAATTTTTTAGTTCCTATGACAATTTTTTTTGGGCGTACGTATATTTAAAGATATTGGTTTTTGGATTTCAAATTAGGAAAAATAATAAACAATAAAATAACTGTATCCTTGATATACGAGCTTTGTAAGCTTGTAGCGAAATGTTAATATATTGAATTATACCAAGTAGTATTTTAAATACATATGTGCTTGTTATATTCTGGTTTAAGATATACCTTGCTTTATAATGTTAATGTATTTTAGAACTGAAATATCTCATTTACGAAATGGTTACCTTTCAGCCTGCGACAGATGGATCTGGACCTGATCCGGCGGCTGCACCGCAAAGTGAACATCGTGCTGGTGATCGGCAAGGCCGACTGTCTCAACAAACAGGAGGTGCGCAAGCTGAAGGAGCGCATCCTGCAGGACCTGGAGGACAACCACATCCAGCTGTACCAGTTCCCCGAGTGCGATTCCGACGAGGACGACGACTTCAAGCAGCAGGACCGCGAGCTGAAGGCCTCCATACCGTTCGCCGTGGTCGGCAGCAACACCATCCTGGAGGTGGCCGGCAAGAAGGTCCGCGGTCGCCAGTATCCGTGGGGCGTGGTCAACGTGGAGGACCCGGAGCACAGCGACTTCATTAAGCTGCGCACCTTCTTGATATCCACGCACATGCAGGACCTCAAGGACACCACGCAGGTGGGTTTAGTCGGGACCTTGCCATGTGCATTGTTTTTGGAGTTTTTGCATTGTATCAAGTGCCAAGGGTTATTTATATAAATATTCATAAATTAAAAATGCGATACAATGTTGTGTAGGAGTTCTGTTGTTTTTACAAAATTTACATTTCTTAGAACTTACAAATTACTTATAAGAAATGTCCTTTTTTTTGAATGTATATTTATTTTATTTTAATATTACGGCGAGACAAGACTGGGTGTTATAAGATAGCTGCCTTTTTTTTTAGAATCATTACAGTTCATCAAATGCAAGACTTAACGATTTCCAGATTATTTCTTTGATTTTTACCAAATTTCTTAAAGTTTAAAAATATTTGAAATAAGTTACATTGTTGCAGGAGTTCTAATTAAATATATTTTATATAGATTTATTTAGTTTGAATATTCATGCGAGACAAGACAAGGTTATAAGTTAGTAAACATTTTTTTTAGAATCTACAATTTATTAATTAATGTAAGACTATTCAACTTGATGTTTTCCAAATGATTTTGATTTATTTTTTTTGTTGTGGTGTTTATACCCCGGTGCAAAAGACTGGCTTTTATAAATTAGTTCGCCAGTCACTTTAAATTTCTAAAACACAAGTTAAACGGTCAACCAAATATGCTTGATTGTTTTAAATCTTAAAGAACACATACTAAAAGGTCACTAAATATTTAAGATATTTTCTTTTATTTTTGAAATATTTAACTAAAAATCTTAATTAATTTTGAGATTGCTTTTAAGAAAAGAATATGTAATTATTATGAACGAAATACAAAATACAATATTTAAAAGTGCTACTACTAGTCAAAAAAAGTATGCAATAATGTATTTAAAGTCTAGAAGTCATTTAACTTTATTTTGAAAGATGAAAGAAAACATTAGTTTTCTTTTTTAGCATACTTTTGGACTCCTTTTAAAGGGATTTCAAAACGCTCGTAATTTCTGTGGCACAACCCTATATAAATTTAAAAAGGTGATTTGTGAGCTTTTTTAATTAAAATTTAAAAAATTTTTCAGGACGTGCACTACGAGAACTTCCGGGCGCAGTGCATTTCGCAGATTTCGCAGCACGCGCTGCGCGAGCGCGGCAAGTTGAAGCGGGACTCGATCAGCTCGACCAACGGATTCGACGCCGCCATCTCGGAGACGGACAGGCTGCTCCTGCAGAAGGACGAGGAGATACGGAGGATGCAGGACATGCTCACCCAGATGCAGGAGAAGCTCAAGCAGACCCATCTTATGGAGATGAAGAAGAACGACAGCGTGATCGACGTCTAGGGAACGTGTTCAATTTTGCACCGCGATATATGCATCTACCTAATATGTAGGACCTTAATGGTGACCCAGAGACATCCTGGAGCAGCTGCAACCAAATCGACTTTGTTCATAAGCTAGCACAGACTTTTTAAAACCGCCTCCTTGAACTGAACCATAAAATCAAACTCATTGCATCCCAAAATTAAGACAACGACTCCACAAAGCACAAAGAAATCCGACATCAACTCTTGACATCACAAGCCTTTTTCAATTTTGTAGCCAAAGTAACGATTTCCTTTAGGATTAACAATTTAATGGAACACATTTATCTTGAGGAATTTAGCTATTGATCAATACGATTACGATATTATACCAAAGTTTAAGGAGTTTCAAAAACTTAACGCAAGTAAATTGTTAACGGAAAGATCAACAAACCACAGAGGCACATAGAAGTATCGTTACTGAGAAAGACATAGACAGAACCCAATATGGTTTTATTTATTTTATTATTCCTTTTGATTTTTTATCGATTTTTTTTGTTTTTTAAAGAGCAAACTGGAAAAAACCGAATTATGAGCAGGTTTGCCTTAGTTATGTGTAAAGAACTTATACCATTTACATTGTAAGAATATATCAGATTGGACGATATATATTTGTATATATATATATATATAAACATATATATATACATATATATTTGCAGGACAAACCGCTGGAGGTTTTGGCACTGAATTTCCATGAATCGACTTTCAGCGAGTTCCAATTATTTATGCTAATTACGTATTATCAGATATATGTATCTATGAACAAAACCTATTTTGTTAAAACGAATTGTTAATGAATTTATTTTAAATTAATCGATTAAGCCTTCACGCAACAACCATAATATTTAAATGAAATTATAGTCGAAAAATTATATATAAACATAGCGATTGCTAAAAATCGATTTCAAATAAAGATAAAAACCACGTAGTTGCTTTCTTGGCTGGCAATACTTTTTGATGGGAGGGTTTGGAATTCACAGGCTTATTACAATCCTGTTAGGATCTATTTAAATTATTAAAATTTGATCTAAAAAAAAAATTAAAATATGTTAGGTAATTGAGAAATTATAATCAATAAAATAAAATTATAGATGACTATATTATAATTTTATTTGTAATTATAGTTAAGATCTTCCTTGATATTTAATTATTTGATTAATTGAAATATCTTTAAGAAATATAAAAGCGAGTGATAAATATATTGGATGAGAATATCATCTCTAGAACGATAGATCTCATCGATAAGATATCGATTAGAAGGCCCACGTTTGTTTTTGTTTACATTTTTTCAAAATATTTTGAAGTTTGCACGATTAATGCAAGTTATTTATTATTACTAAATATATAGTAATGGACTTGGATCTGTCCCGTGCTGATATCATAGAACAGCTCAAAAAGGTGACTTCTTAATAGTTTTGTTTTTTTTTTTTTACCATGTACCAAAAACCATTGCTATTTTGCGTTACAGAGGGAGATCTACCTCCCAAATGTGGAAAAGATGCCGCCTGGGCAGCTGGAGGAGATCTACCGGGGATTCGTGGTGCCGCGACCCAGAAGAGAGCGGGATCGCTCCAATCCCATTTCGAATGCCATGGACATGGAACAGCTGACGCAGCGCATCAAGTCGGTGGCCATGGTGGGGCAGAAACGACCGCACCCAGCGAGCCCCAGCGATGATGCTGCCAAGCAAATCAAGATGGACCTGCGGTGACCCCATTGCGGGCGGGACTGTGATAAGACCACCATCCCCATGCCATACCCACTGATCAGTAGACAAACGATCGTCCAGCGAGATGCACCTGCTGCTCCTCCTCCTCTGTGTTCCACTGACTCTGGGCGAGGTGCTGCCCCTGCAGCCAGATTTGGACAACATTCAGGTTTGTTTAAAAAGCAAATGATATCCTATGGAGTAATTGGATCAGTAGATCATCTCTATAATATTTCGGTTTGTTGATAATCCAAATGGGCTCATAGTACAAAGGCTCATATTGCTTAATCTCTATATTCCCAATCGTATCTTACAATCTATATGTAATCTATTTATAATATTAAGGTTTCTTGTTATAGATCAATTGAACTTTGGACTCTAGAAACTAATATATATATATATATGGAGTATATATACATTATTGGCAGTAATCGAATCCATAGATGATCTGTAATATATTCCAGTTTGTTTATAATCCAAATGAGATCATATCATATGACATCAAAAGCTCAACAAGCTATCTCTATAATATGCAGTATTGTTTATAAACCAAATCAAATCATAGCACACTATCAATATGTAATATATATATAATATGAAGGTTTCTTTATAAACCAAAAGACATATTATATTATATTATCTTATAATAGATCAATTGAACTTTGGACTCTAGAAGCTAATATATATAAATATTTTTTAACATTATTTGGAATTATCAAATCCATATATATTCTGGTTTGTTTATAATCCAAATGAGATTTATAAATCTTTACAATTTTCCGTCTTGTTTATAAACCAAAATATATCATACAACCAACGCGTAATCTTCATAATATTTCGGCTTATTATAAAGCCAGAATACATTGTAAATGATAAAATAAGATCAATTGAACTTTGTGCACTCAAAACGTTTATAAGTGAACTTTAAATTTTGCCTTTTAGTTGACCATCCGGCGGAGCGCCAATCGCGGGGACAAGCTTCAGGTGTTCCAGAGCATCTGGGGCGCCATCCGCTCCGACTTCGCCACGGACACGGACAAGGTGAAGGGCCTGTACAGCCAGCTGGGCACCTTCATCCGCGACGAGATGCAGTGCACCAGTGGTGCGACGGGTCGCTCCGCCTGCGAACTGCAGCAGGAGGTGCGGCGCCACCTGAGGAGCCTCATGTCGCAGCGCCTGGCCAATCTGCTGAACGCCGAGGAGAGCATCCAGACCTACGGCATGTATGTGGCGGCTAGTGTGGAGCCAGCCCTGGTCCGGGATGTCCTGGTGAACGCCATCGAAGATGTGTACTTCTATCGGCCGCCGGACAAGCTGGTTCAGCAGCTGGAGCAACTGTTCGCGGATCGCGACGAGGTAAGCTTCAGGATGATGATCGAGGCGCAGCTGACCCTGTTCTGGCGGTACCAGGCCATGCAGGACAGCAGCGAGTCGTTCCTCTTCAACATGGCCCATATGGTCAGCAAGATAAGGACCCATCACATGTACGCCAGCGTGGATGCAGGCCTCCAGAGGCGGCTGGCGGCGCTGGCTAGGAGTCTGCCACCTGTGCTGGGCCTGCTCTTCAATCCGATGGGCTTCTGCCTGCTGAGTCGCTCCGATCGCGAGTACATATACACCACCATAACGGACGAGTGGAACTATGGGCTGAACGGCAGACAGGTCTTCGCCTGGCACGAGCAGAACTACACCGACTCCGCGGGCCTGATACGCGCCTTTGTCCAGGAGCAGCACTCCACTCCGGTGTTCACGCTGCGCGGCGAGCTCTACAAATGGTACTATTACGTGGACCCCACCGAGGGCAATCGACTGGGAGCCCTGCGGTCCGGCAGTCCCAGTTCGTCGACCAGTTTCTGGTCCATCGCCTACGTGGAGGACGCCCTCATCTTCCGGCAGCGCGACCTCACGCTGTGTGCCGCCGAAAAGCATGACAACGAGCGCCGACTGGTGAAGATGCTGCCTGGACAGATGCACATGCCTCCTTCGGAGGCTTGCCAATGGCTGCCGATCGACTGTGCTCCTCCAAAATGAGCGGGATGGATGTACTTTAACGCTATGGACTTGTATTTGGTTTTCAAGGGTGTTTAATAAATACTATTCATAAATTTGTGCCTTAAATTTTTTAAGAGGCAGTTCATTTTCGATGTAATATTTAATATATTTCCTTTTTTAAAATTGCGATTCTAAGCCAGAAATTACCGTATTTTCTAGATATTTATTTAATTTTTCAGAGTTATTAAAATTTGTATATTCGTAAAATGGAATACAAAACCAAATTCTTTAAAAGGACCCTTTCACAAGAAATTTGATTCCTGTTTGAGATCGCCCGGTAGCATAAAACAAAGTTAGCATTACCATTTGATGTTGGTTACAACTTTTAGGAGCAAGGATTTGAATCTTTTTACCCGTTCTTAGATCATTGCTCTAATAATTTTATTTACTTTCCCGGCCTTATTATAGAGTAATCAATATATTCTATAACTCCATCAAATTCTTTTGATTTTAACTCCAAATATTAATTATGATAATCAGTGATAGCAAAACTAGTGCGAAAATTGGTTAGGCCGGATCTCTAAAAGCCTCCGTTGAAATTTGTTTATTACATTTTTTAATTTTTTAATAAATTTGTACCCCTAACTGAACTTAGAAATAGACGGCTATACCTTGGTATAAAGATTCCTTGCTGTTAATAAAAATCAGAACCATGAAAGATAAGTAATTGTTTTGTAATGGAAATAAATACACATGGATCATGTAACATTTATAATTTCGATTTATTCCTAACCAGTCACAAGAAAAGTTTACAAATAAGTACAAAAAACGTAATTAAATAATAAGGGAATTTATAGTCACAAGAAAAGTTCCCAAATCAGTACAAAATATGTAATCAAATAATGGAGTGAAACTATAACTTCAGTCTGGAAAAAAGGTCACAAAGCAGTACAAAAATGTAATCAATTAATAAAGGAGAGGAATTATAACTTAGTAAACGAACATAAAATAAATGAATTCAAAACGAACAAAATGAAATGAAGGTGGGAAGTTCGGAAACGTTTGCGAAATATACACACGGGGATGGTTTGAGCTTAGCCTAATGAGTTTTTGGTTTGGTTGGTGGGTTGCATCAACGGATGGGCGTCTGCATTCTATTCGGAGAAATCATCCTTGATCTTCTTGTTTTACGACATCCTTCAAGTGCGATACTGGGAATTCGGCAGTGGTATGTTGACCCGGTGACGCGAAGGACTACTTAAACGGAATCTTCCCGACGGACGATAGTACATGCTGCACTGCAGAAACTCCTCGGGATCTTCCTGCGGCGCCGCCTCCATGGACTCCTCAATGGCTCGCGAGTAGTCCTCGATCTCCTCGTCATCCAGATGCGGTGCACCATTGGCGAATGTGGCAAAGCGCATGGGATTCCGCAGGTTGCTGATCACTTTCCATTGCTTGCACTCCGGACTGTTGACGAATTTCCTTAGCTCTGCTAGGGATTTCGAGGTCTCCTCCACCGACTGCTGGTAGTACTCCTCCTGAGTTAGAAGCCGCCTCTTCGGCGGAAAGCGGCGCCGGTACATGATCTTGGCTTGACGAACCCACGACCTGGGGAAGTAGTGGGCCACGAACGTCACTACCATTAGAAAGACCAAGGCGCTCGTGTGCCAGCTGCAAAAGTAAACCAGGACACCGCCCATCGCCTGCAGCACCCACATGATGATGTTCTGGGAGCGCGGATTCTTTGGCGGGCCAATTCGATAGCAAATCTGGTCGTTACAAAAAATTCAAGGAATTCATTAATATAAGCAAATATGGATTTGGTGAATTCATAATCTTAATATACTGTTATTACTGTTAAAAATAAGAAATTAAAATATTGAGCAAAACAAAATGTTTGTAATAAGTAATAGTTTTAAGTCTTTGCCTGTTCAAATAAGTATGTATCTCCTATTCAACGTGACAAGCGCTACAAATATAAACGTAAACTGGTTGCTCTGGCATATTAAGTAATAGATCATAAAATACTCACCAGGAACGAGATCAGTCCGGTGACCACCATATACCACACGACGTGGTCGCGGTAGGTGAGCAGGATCAGTCGCAAGTTGTCCGCCAGCTGCTTGAGGACATAGAAGCCAATGGTCCAGCCGCCGATGAGGACGCCGTACATCATGGGTCGCCGCGGAAAGAGCTTGGCGGCCAGGTAGATGACCACCAGCAGGGAGGCGCAGATGCCCAAGAGGACCCCGGCCAGATAGTAGAACACACTGTTCTTCGCCAGTCGCCGGGCGCTCCAGAAGGTCAGGAGGCCCAGTGAGAACTGGACAAATCGCCACAGATCAAACTGAATGGTGTTCAGAACGACAATGTACGCGTGTCGGGAAGAGATCCCGATGCATTGCTGGTCAAATGGCGAAAGCTGGAGACGCTGACGCTTCTGGGAAAACAGGGTGATGCTGAAGAGCGATTGCTGCTCGTTGTAGTGCTCCAGCACCTCCTCCGGCGTCCTGCCCCCATACTGGGCATAGTCCTCGCCGGCGATCGTCAGCACGAATTCCACCGTCTCGAACAGATTCAGTACGGAGTAGCGCTTGCCCGGATAGCAGTACGTGCGCAGAGTCTTCGATCCGTAGGCGTTCTCCGTGACATTTATGGACGTGCCCGGCGTCAGAAAAGCCGTGTCCGAGGAGGCCGGAATCTCTGATGATGAGCACATCACGGCCACTGCCAGCAGACAAAGTACCGTCCACTGCATTTTCACACGATCTATGGGGGCGTATCTTAGCATTAACTTCACCTTGTTAAATCACAAAAACACTCACCTTTTAACTGATGATTTGTTTATTCTTATTTCCACAATCCAAAACGCCGGCGGCGATAACGATAGGAAGGCGACGGCACAAGCGATAACTGCGCTACTATCGATAGCTGATACTTTTGGGCTTGTAAACACTGCTGCCAGGTGTTGGTTTTACTACAGTTTTTACTACTTAAGGCAAACAAGGGCGGAAATTTATTTCAAATGCACGGACCACTACTATTACTAACCATAGGTACATTTTTGAAATACATAATGTTAACCTTTGATATTAAACTTATAGGCTTGGTATTTATGCATACAAAATTGCTTTCAAAAAAACAAAAAAAAACATACAAAAATAGGGGAACAACAATTTTGGGCCATTATTTTTATATAAAGTCTTTTGCTTTGGGAACAATTTTGGTAGCCTGAAAACCAAGCCATACATTATGAAGCAGATCACTTTCTAAATTCATTTAAGAAATTGGGAAACGATATACCCTCGGAAAATATATTTATGGACAAATTGCAAATAAGATGGCCGCGCTCTTAAGTCTATGCCGAACTCCAAAAAATTAGTAATTATAATTAATTAGTATAAATTCTCTAATAATCTTCTAAACAAAATTCTACTCCATTTATTAAGTTAGTAAGTTAGTTTATAGTTGCAGAGGGATTGATTAAACAGGCGTACCTTTTTTTTACTGTATAGAGTGTGCACTGTACATTGTAATGGTTCGCGTACTCGCTATACATTTAGTCTAACTTACCACCAGCCCTTTATTGTGGTATTTTTTAGGACCTGATCATCCAGAGCCCGATTTAATAAGGCGGTGAATTCGGTTGTTTGACTTTGGTTTGCTCCTTTCACTCCGCTAATTGGAGCCAATTTGCAAGCAAACATTATTGAATGTTTGACCAAATTTGACGAAGTGCGAAATTTGCGAGATCTGTTAACGACATCGCGAAAAAATAACAAAAGGCGCATTTAAACCAGAACTAAAACGTGTTCACGACTACAAGTGCATCACAGAGAACAGAGAGTGCTTCGCTTACAAGTACACGAAAATGTAAGTGGGTTTGTAATGTGCGTACAAAGGACAAAGGAAAAGAGAGCAATTTTTGTCCACCTTAATTAAAGGATTACTTGATTTAGATTATAGGTTAGTGAGGTCCTTCTTAAATTGGGTTTTTGTTATTGTTATTCTCAGTCGCATTCGAACCGGTTTCCAATTCGATCCAAAGGTTCACACACGTGCTTGCGCACGCACACTCCCAGGGGTCGATCTTCTTCTTTCTACGCCGTTTGTCGAGGTGTAAACAAACCGTGAATAGCAATAACAAAAAATTAAGTCGCTTGATAAGCACCGTCCATTCCCAATCAGAATCATGTTGTGGTCTTTGTTGTTCTATTTTTTTTTCCACCGCGCAACATGTTGCCAGACAGGCTTACATGTATATGAACTAATACATTGAGCATTTATGATTTTTGGTTGCCTTTTTTGTTTTTAATACAAGAAGTATCGGCAAACTGTATGTGTGTGTAAAAAACACATGTTGCTTTTGCGGCGTACTTTTTAGCTTAGTACCCTCGAATTGTAAAAACCAAAGGTATATTCGGCATTGTAAGGTTTTGGTAATACACTTACATTTAGAGTTAATTAAAAACGTTGATGAAATTATTTAACTTGAAAAACCAATAATATATATTTAAATACAATTTAAGGGCATTTCTTAAAATTATACAATGTTAGGAAATTTGTATATTGTACAAGTCATATTTACATTATTTTTAAAAGTTCCCCAACTCAAATTTATAATTTTTTTTGGGAAATATAATTACTTTGGTTAAGGTAAGTTTTTAATGGGCCTTATTATTATCTATATCATTTTTTAAATGTCAATTCTTAACATGAATTTAACGTGTTTTCTTTATTTAATTTTGCAGAATTATTAATATACATAAGTATTTTGAAAAACATTAATCACATTAAAAATTGGGTTTGCAAATTTGTTGTATTAATTATTAGTTTTACTTGCTTTCAACAAAAGTCCCTTTTGTAGAAGGACTAAAAAAAGCAGGGGTACATTTATTAAAGTTTTGCTTCCAATAATATATTTAAGCCAAAAACTTTAATTAAAGTCCTCAAATCGGTTATCGCTATCAGCTCTTAGGCATAAATAGTTTCGTTTCTATGTTTGTTTATTTTTCTTTACTTCTCACTTTTCAAAAGATAAAACCCCCTTTTGATAACCAACTTCACTTGTTTATTAAAGACCTTTTTATAACAGGAAATATTATTTCTGTTTTGGAACGAAAGGGAACATTAAAAAAAAGTTAGCTTTGGTTAAAATTTTTGTTAACAATTTTTTTGTGTACAAATTTTATAAAATAACAAAATTTAAAATTTTGTGGGTATAGTCTAATAATAAAATTTCAAATTTTGATCCATTAAAAAACATTTAAAATCTTGACTAGTTTTTGATGGTTGATATGGGGAAAATAATGGGGCACGAAACGTTAATAGCCAGTTTACATTAGACTCCGTCTACCGTCAATGTCGGTGCATATAAACTTGCCGTCCCGAATTTTCCCAAAATATTCGACCGTCAACCTCTGCTGTTCCTAATCAAAACTAGAGGGAAAGTTGGTTAAGCTAATCTGCAATGAAAATTTGAATTCTCTGGTTTCCTTTTTGTTGTTTTGATAATTTATTAAAAATTAATGATATATATTAAGCATACTATTGGCAAACGATTAGTACTCACTGAGCTGATGTCCTGATTTAAAATTTAATTTACCCGTCTTCTCTAGAAACCCATCGAAGATGCCCCCTGCAAACTGTTACCTGGCGCTCGAGGATGGCACCGTGATGCCGGGCTACTCCTTTGGCCACGTTCCTGCGGACAAGTCAGGAGGAGTGGGCGGCGAGGTGGTGTTCCAAACGGGCATGGTCGGCTACACGGAGGCGCTAACTGACCGCTCCTACAGCGGCCAGATCCTGGTGCTGACGTATCCGCTGATCGGCAACTATGGCGTGCCGGCGCCCGACGAGGACGAGCACGGACTGCCGCTGCACTTCGAGTGGATGCAGGGCGTCGTCCAGGCCACCGCCTTGGTGGTGGGCGAGGTGGCCGACGAGGCCTGGCACTGGCGCGCCTCGAAGACGCTGCCCGAGTGGCTGGTGCAGCACCAGGTGCCCGGCATCAGTGGCATCGACACCCGAGCCCTCACCAAAAAGCTGCGGGAGCAGGGCAGCCTGCTGGGCAGGATCGTCTACGAGGAGCCGCCGCTCCAGGGTCTGCCGAAGTCTAGCTTCGTGGACCCGAACACCAGGAATCTGGCCAGGGAGTGCAGCGTGAAGGAGCGACGAGTGTTCGGGGATCCCAATGGCAAGGGCCCGCGGATCGCCATCCTCGACTGCGGCCTGAAGCTCAACCAGCTGCGTTGCCTGCTGCAGCGGGGCGCCTCGGTCACCCTGCTCCCCTGGAGCGCTCGCCTCGAGGAGGAGCAGTTCGACGCCCTCTTCCTGTCCAACGGGCCCGGTAATCCGGAGAGCTGTGACGAGATCGTCCAACAGGTGGGTTAAAAACTCAATTTTTGTATCAAAAGCCTGGGAAATAATGTCATAATTGTTGGATTCCTCATAAAATTTCCATTCAAATGGCATTCACAGATAAAATTTCTTTAGTTTTTCAAATTTTTCTAAAAAAAAATATGATGTAACCCCTCGTAAAACATGCAAAAATTGGGAATTTAAAAAAAAAAGACTTTCAAAAATCGATGTTTATATCAAAACAAAATGACATTTTTAGTAACTCGATCAGAACGGATTTTATTTTTCGCCATCTGTTTACTGGTTCCAGTGGTTTGGCTATGCGTCGTAATTTGGCATATTACAACAAAAAGACTCTTTGGAAGTGGTTAATTTTCTTAGTTCTCCAAAAATCCAAAAATACCTTTAAAAATCAGTTTTTGAATAAAAAGCCTGGGAAATAATTGTCAGAAGTTGGAGTGTCATACATCGTTGGCTTCATCATAAAATAAAAAACTACTTTCAAAAATCTTTTTTGTTATATCAAAACAAAATTAATTAACAAAATTTGACCAATTGGGTACATAAAATTATGAATATATACAGACAAAAACTAAAAATAAGTTTCATTTAGTTTATTTTCTAAACAGGAATGATAATTTTGAATAGTTGATTTTTATTTTGAAATGACTAGAATAAGGAATTCCATAAACACCTGCGGACGTTGTTGCCCTAAAAGTAGTAGCCATCCACCATTCACCATCCACTATCACTGTTGAATATGGTTCTATTCCTTCTTCCAGGTGCGCAAAGTGCTGGAGGAGGGGCAAAAGCCCGTGTTCGGCATCTGCCTGGGCCACCAGCTGCTGGCGAAGGCCATCGGCTGCTCCACGTACAAGATGAAGTACGGCAATCGGGGCCACAATCTGCCCTGCTTGCACCGCGGCACGGGACGCTGCCTGATGACGTCGCAGAACCACGGATATGCCGTGGATCTGGAACAGTTGCCGCCGGGCTGGTCGGAGCTGTTCGTGAATGCCAACGATGGCACCAACGAGGGCATCGTGCACGCCAGCCGACCCTACTTCTCGGTGCAGTTCCATCCGGAGCATCATGCCGGGCCCCAGGACTCCGAGTTCCTGTTCGACGTCTTCCTGGAGAGCATTGCGCAGCGGGACGTGAGCATTCCGCAGCTGATTGAGCAGCGTCTGCGACCGAACAGAAAGCTCGATCAGCCAGAGGATCCCAGTCGCAGTCCAGTTAAGCCGGTGAGGAAGGTGCTGATCCTGGGCTCCGGCGGCCTGTCGATTGGCCAGGCCGGCGAGTTCGACTACTCCGGATCGCAGGCCATCAAGGCGATGCGCGAGTCGAACATCCAGACGGTGCTGATCAACCCCAACATAGCCACGGTGCAGACCTCCAAGGGGATGGCCGACAAGTGCTACTTCCTGCCCCTCACGCCGCACTACGTGGAGCAGGTGATCAAGTCGGAGCGGCCGAACGGAGTGCTGCTCACCTTTGGCGGCCAAACGGCCCTCAATTGCGGCGTTGAACTGGACCGAGCCGGCGTCTTTGCCAAGTACAATGTGCGCATCCTGGGCACACCCATTCAGTCCATCATCGAGACGGAGGATCGCAAGCTCTTCGCCGATCGCGTGAACGAGATTGGCGAGCAGGTGGCCCCCTCGGAGGCCGTCTACTCCGTGGCCGAGGCGCTCGATGCGGCCAGTCGCCTGGGCTATCCGGTGATGGCCCGGGCCGCCTTCTCGCTGGGCGGACTGGGCTCCGGCTTTGCCAACAACGAGCAGGAGCTGCAGAGTCTGGCGCAGCAGGCGTTGGCCCATTCCAGCCAGCTGATTGTGGACAAATCGCTCAAGGGCTGGAAGGAGGTGGAGTACGAGGTGGTGCGAGACGCCTACGACAATTGCATCACCGTTTGCAACATGGAGAACTTCGATCCGCTGGGCATCCACACGGGCGAGAGCATAGTGGTGGCGCCATCGCAAACACTCTCGGACCGCGAGTACCAAATGCTGCGCAGCACCGCCTTGAAGGTGATCCGTCACTTTGGCGTCGTCGGCGAGTGCAATATCCAGTACGCGCTGTGTCCCCACTCCGAGCAGTACTACATCATCGAGGTGAATGCCCGACTGTCGCGCAGCTCGGCGCTGGCCAGCAAGGCCACTGGCTATCCGCTGGCCTATGTGGCCGCCAAGCTGGCCCTCGGTCTGGCCCTGCCGGACATCAAGAACTCGGTGACGGGCAACACGACGGCCTGCTTCGAGCCCTCGCTCGACTACTGTGTGGTGAAGATACCGCGCTGGGATCTGGCCAAGTTTGTGCGGGTGAGCAAGCACATTGGCAGCTCCATGAAGAGCGTGGGCGAGGTGATGTCCATTGGGCGCAGCTTCGAGGAGGCCTTCCAGAAGGCCCTGCGCATGGTCGACGGCGATGTGCTGGGCTTTGATCCGGATGTGGTCACGCTCGAGCAGGAGCAGTTGGCCGAGCAGCTGTCGGAGCCCACGGATCGTCGGCCCTTCGTCCTGGCCGCCGCTCTGAAGTCGGGCATGTGCGTGGATGAGCTGCATCGCCTGACCAAGATCGACTGCTGGTTCCTGCACAAGCTGTCCCGCATCATCGGCCTGCACTCCATGCTGACCAAAACGGGCAGTCGGACGGGCGCCGACCTGCTGCTGCAGGCCAAGCGCTACGGATTCTCAGACAAGCAGATTGCCAAGGCCACCAAGAGCACGGAGCTGGCGGTGCGCCACCAGCGCCAGGAGTTCGGCATTCGGCCGCATGTCAAGCAAATCGACACGGTGGCGGGCGAATGGCCGGCGAGTACCAACTATCTGTACAACACGTACAATGGCAGCGAGCACGACGTGGCCTTCCCCGGCGGTCACACCATTGTCGTCGGCTCGGGCGTCTATCGCATCGGTTCGTCCGTGGAGTTCGACTGGTGCGCCGTCGGCTGTCTGCGCGAACTGAGGAAGCTGCAGCGACCGACCATCATGATCAACTACAATCCGGAGACCGTGTCCACGGACTACGACATGTGCGATCGCCTGTACTTCGAGGAGATCAGCTTCGAGGTGGTCATGGACATCTACGAGATGGAGAGCAGCGAGGGCATCATCCTCTCCATGGGCGGCCAGCTGCCCAACAACATTGCCATGGATCTGCACCGCCAGCAGGCCCGCGTGCTGGGCACTTCGCCGGAGTCCATCGACTGTGCAGAGAATCGCTTTAAGTTCTCGCGCATGCTCGATCGCAAGGGCATCCTGCAGCCGCGCTGGAAGGAGCTGACCAACCTGCAGTCGGCCATCGACTTTTGCGAGGAGGTGGGCTATCCGTGCCTGGTGCGACCCTCCTACGTCCTCTCGGGCGCGGCCATGAACGTGGCCTACTCGAACCAGGACCTGGAGACCTATCTGAATGCCGCCTCCGAGGTGAGTCGCGAGCATCCGGTTGTGATCTCCAAGTTCCTCACCGAGGCCAAGGAGATCGATGTGGATGCGGTGGCCGCCGACGGACGCATCCTCTGCATGGCCGTGTCGGAGCATGTGGAGAATGCGGGGGTGCATTCGGGCGATGCGACGCTGGTGACGCCGCCGCAGGACCTCAATGCCGAGACACTGGAGGCCATCAAGCGGATCACCTGCGATCTGGCCAGCGTGCTGGACGTCACCGGTCCCTTCAACATGCAGCTCATCGCCAAGAACAACGAGCTGAAGGTCATCGAGTGCAATGTGCGCGTCTCGCGCTCCTTCCCCTTCGTGTCCAAGACGCTGGACCATGACTTTGTGGCCACCGCCACCAGGGCCATTGTGGGCCTCGACGTGGAGCCCCTGGACGTGCTGCCGGGCGTGGGCAAGGTGGGCGTCAAGGTGCCACAGTTCAGCTTCTCCCGCCTCGCCGGCGCCGATGTTCAGCTGGGCGTCGAGATGGCCTCCACCGGCGAGGTGGCCTGCTTCGGCGACAACCGCTACGAGGCCTATCTGAAGGCCATGATGTCCACCGGCTTCCAGATACCCAAGAACGCCGTTCTCCTCTCCATTGGCAGCTTCAAGGTACGCTTAACACTTACTACCCACCACCCGGTTTGCATATATGTTTATATATTGATTGACTATTGTGTCATCACGATTGCAGCACAAGATGGAGCTGCTGCCCTCGATACGGGATCTGGCCAAGATGGGCTACAAGCTATACGCTTCCATGGGCACCGGTGACTTTTACGCCGAACATGGCGTTGATGTGAGTACAGACTTTAATTGTTACATTTGGAACACTATGAGTTAAAACTTACCATGTGGTTTACCTAATTCTTAGAATTATTGGAACTTTTCATTTTTTATTTGGGCTTTGAAAACATTTTAAGTTTTACCAAAGCTACAACCTGTTACTTACAGGGTTTAAAATGTTGTATGTTTAGGGAAAAAATGGGCTCATTTACGTCTGGGAACCAGTAACACATGTTATATAATGTTGTTACTATTCACTTATAAATTTCATAACCATATTTCATTCTTATTTAAAAATTTTATTGGTTTTTACACAACCTTTGTTATATACAAATAAAAAAAGAACATTAGGTTCTAAGCAATATATTCTTTTTGTGATCTCAAGCAGCTATTTCGTTTATAAAAAAATACTATCATTTCAAACAAAAAAACAAACAAATAGTAAAAAGATTCAAGTTATATGCATTTTTTTATAACTGACAAAAACAACATTTCTTTTTAAAATTGAAAAATTGCTTGCAAAAAAAATTCAAAAACCATAAAATCTATTTAACATTTTAAAAAAAATTTAGACTTTAATTTTAAAGTTTCAACAAACATTCATTTAACAGAAATAGCTGTTTATATTAATATATTTATGTAGTAATAAGCTAATGCTCTTTATTTCCTATAACTTTAACTTCAATTTTGAATTCAGAAATTACCTTTTGAAATGTTAGATTCAGGTTAATTATTTTAAACATTCACATCCTCTTTTCCGTATAAACTCAATACCTAAAATTAGGTTTTAAGTGGTCATTGTTTCCTCATTACGTTCATATCACTTTAATCAGACTTCGTTTAAGATGTTTATCAACAAAGTTGAGTAGTTTTATTATTTATTTTCCAGTGTTTATTTACCTTGAATTGGGTATATATTTAGTTAAATATTTAATAACATTGACATCATAGGGACACACAACTGAATTCCAGATTACAAATACTTATACAATATATATGCAATGGAATCAGACAACATTAACTTATGTACAGTTCCTATGATCTATATAACTAGTAAATCCCATTCTTATCTCTGGCGTTATCACTATTGGCTTAACTGTCCCATATCAATATATCAATATATATGTATATATCGCTAATCTGTAATGAATCATGTTTAGTTAAAGGCGGCCTTGAGCTTTTGCGTGTTGCGCTTGAGGACATCCTTGAGCTCCTCTCGTTTGGCCTCGGAAGGGGCTACTCTTTGGACCAGTTGCTCCGTCTTGCTGCTCAGGGCCTGCATCTTGTCCGTATCTAGATTGAGTCTTTGGAGGATTCCGTTCAGCGAGAGTAATGCTTCCTCCCCGGGAGTTTCTACCACTTTCGATTCCGATTTCTCTACTACTCTTTCAGCTGGTAGTATATCCTCCTCTGTAGCTTTAAGTTTCTCCTCTATGCGGGATTGTGTCTCCTCCTCCACCTCCACCTCCTCCTCCTGTCGACGATTCCCCCTGAGAATGCCACTTAGTTTGTGGCTCTCAAGATGGGGCATGTGATGGGACCTGGCCAGCGGATCTGGCGAGTGTATCTGCACCACATGCTCCTGAAACTTGATGGATTTTCTACGCACTGACGGGGATTCCTTCACCTCCTGATCCACCGCCACGTCCATTGCACCTGGTCTGTGTGGCAAGGGGTTGGCCGACATGGCCTCCATTTGAGTGGCTGCCAGCTGGAGCGCCTGGATGAAGTGCTGGGCCTGCTGGGCGCAACCCAGGTGCTGATAGAGGCGACACAACCTTTGACCCTGCTCCAGGTAGAGCTGGGCGTGACCACGATTGCCAAAGTGACGCGTGGCATGGTCCAACATGGCCAGCTGGTGATCCAGCAGCAGTTCAAGCAGATTGCTGCGTCGCAGGATCTCCAGGCCGTTGTTCAATTGTGGTTGTGCCACCGGATTCCTACTGCCGGCATCTGGATGGGATTGTTTGACCAGCAATTGCAGCTCATCCAGGAGGTCCAGCGAGTAGCGACTTTGAGCACCCTGGAGCTGCTGCTCCTGTCTCTGCTGCTGCTGCTGCTGCTGGCTGGTGGTCTGGGCCCTCAGGAGCTGTGTCTTCCGGCGCAGCTTGCCCCGCGATCGCTCTTGATGCTGGGCCAAGCCCAGCAGACCCCGGGCATCGGTTGCCACCAGGTCCTGGCCGGGCTCCAACCGCTCCCGCCTTTCCTCCTGGGCTGCGGGAAATCCCTGGCGGGGACGCGAAAACTTGCCCCAACCATGCAGCTCCAGGTAGTCCTGGCTGCAGAGGTTCTGCAACAGGCGGCCGTAGTCCAGTGGCGGATAGAAGTGCGGGGCATGCTGGAGATTCCTCAGTGCCTGGAGCACATGCAGCAGCGGCTGCTCCGCAATGCCGGCCATGATGGTGCGCAGCTGCATCAGGGTGTCCTCGGGCACATGCTCGAACAGATTGCGACGCTCGATGAAGTAATCGCTGAGCTGCTTCCTCGCCAGACAGGCGTCGAACGAGCGGATGAAACGCACCAGGCGCTCGCCCAGGAACTCCTCGGGCCAGTCATTGCTGTGCCGTTCACACTCCCAGAAGAGGTGGGCCCGCAGCTGCTCCTCCAGCAGATCCACTGCCGCCGGCGAGGAGGAGGAGCCCTCCACAAATGTCTTGACCAGCAGCTTCATCAGCTGGAACACCTTCAGTTGCATGGGCGTGAGGCAGTGCCGCTCGAGATACTGCTCCGCCTGGGGGAAGACAATGCGCCACTCCAGCTCCCGGAAGGGATTGCGCGAATGCTTGGGCGCATAGCCCACCGGGACCACATGGAAGCCGAAGGAGCGGATGCGTTTCCTCATCTGCTCCGTGGGCCATTGGAACTGCTCGGCCGTGTGGAGATTGGTGAGGCGCGGTCGCGCCCTCAGCCAGAACTCGAAGGCACAGTCCGGCCAGGAGTTGGGCACATGGATGGCGGGCACCAGCTCCTCGCGGGCCGTGTACACACTGCAGCCGCGATAGGAGGCCTCGGCCAATTGGCCCGGGCTGATGCCCAGCTGAGGGGCCAAGTGCTGGCGGAGAAGCTCCCCGAAATACAGCATGAACTGCTGCGAACTAAGGTAGCACTGCTGCAGTTGCTCCACTTGGCACTGGCGCAGCACCTGCACGGTCTCATAGCCAGCCGGTGGATACTTCTGGTCCCTCTGCCCCGCCTCCTCTCCCGCCTCCTCATCATCGCTGCTGGAGGAGGCAGAGCATGAGTCCTCCTCGTCATCGGTTTGCTCCAGCCAGGCAGGCAGACAGTTGGCCAGTCGTCGGATGCAGCTTTCCGGCAGCACATTCCTCTTCAGATCCAACTTTCGCCCAAGTCGCAGCTCCTCCAACGGACGCGGCGTATTCAGCCGGGCCAAGTACACATAGTCGTAGTCCCCGGAACTGTATCCCGACGATGAGGAGCACTCCTCATCGCTGCTGCTGGCCGGGAAAGGTGAGCTGCAATCACTGTCCGCCGGAGGATTCTGATTCGAATTGGGGGACTGCTGCTCACGCAGCTTGAGGCGCACATAGCCCATCCAGCGGGTCAGCTCCATCAGTTGGACGAACTGGGAGCGGGAGGGCGTGGTGCTGTAGTAGTCCGTCTCCAGGAGCACCTTGCACAGCGCCGCCACGGTGTCGTAGTTGGCATCGTGGGGTCGGGCCACGTCCACATTCTCGAAGACCACGTACGTGAGGGGCTTCTGCAGTGGTTGTGCCGGGCCTTTCGAGGATCTACAAGAAGATATACGTTTAGGTATCACTTGGGGGAGGTACAGAGCACCACAAAAATATCTAAGTATTCAAGGATCCAAGAGAAGATATACGATAGGACATACAAATTGGGTATACAGGGAGTAAAGAATTAAACTCTTAATAAGTTAAGATATAAACGGATAGGTACATATATTATATATTCTGAAAAATATCAAAAAATATGAAAATACTCGAGGACCTACAAAAAGTAATACGCTTAATAATAAAACGAGGGGTATAATGAAAAATATCGATATATTTAAGGATCTGCAATAAGGTATAATTTAATGGGTATATATAGTTTCAGCATAATAACAAAATATTTGAGGAATTAAACGAATGTATACTTTAAGATACAAATGGATAGGCAAATAGAGATTCAAAATAATAGCTAAGTATTCGAAGATCAACAAAAAGTAACATGTTAAATTATAATAGTATGGGTAGAAGGGATTCAAAGAAATGTCAAAATATTCGATAATCTGCATAAAGGTATATGTTTGGTATTAAAATATTAAAAAAAAAAAAAAGTAGATCCTCTAGTAAAACTCAATACCTTAAAGTAAAAAAGAATTGGAGTAAACAGAATACTCAATAAGGTATCCACATAACACATAAATAATTAATTCATTAAAATATCAAAATATTTGAAGATATACAAAAAGGTTTAATTCAATATCAAAATGTTCGAAAAATATAAACGAATGGTTATACAGACTATTCAGCAAAATATTAAAATATTTGAGCAACTACGAGGTGTACGTTAAGGTATATTTGGATGGGTAGTATAGAAACTCCGAAAAAAATATCAATATACTCAAGGTGTATAGATAAAAATATCAACTGGTATCAGAAACGAAATCTAAATGAAATGAAATATTATAATAATTATGGGCCTTATAATAATTTTTTCTAATCGTGAACTTGAATTTATGGCCACACGTGCCATTATTAAGTCCGAGATAATGTAGTCTACAATTCCGTTGTTTTCAGATATTGTTTTCTGGGTGCAGGATTACAATATTAAAACACTTATTTTTGAAATCGAAAACTAAAGGAAAACAACTCAAAAGGGTATTAATAAAAATATTGTCAAGTAATCATGGGAGTACTTTCAAAAGTTTCAAAGTAAAACAGTCAAGAAATAAATTTAGGGGAAAAATCATTATAAAGAAGAAAGAAAGTTGGTAGAAAAAAGAGTGTGATAAAAAATGAGTAAAAAAAATTTCTATGTGAAGTTGTTACATCAAAAACATGTTTAGAAGAAATCTATAAAATAGGGAATTATTTGGAAAACAATTAGTTTTTTTTTATAGGGAAACCTTTTGCAAAAAAATCTTAAAAATAGAGCAGGACATGGGAAGACTCACGCTGGCTTGAAAAGCAGGTTCCTGGCAACGGCCGCATCGATGGCGCTGCTCTGGAGCAGACTGTGCTCGGCCAGATTCTCGGCGGAGCAGTTGCGCCGCCTGGCCAGCAACTGGGCATCGATCACGCCCATCTCGGCCTCGAAATGCCCGAAGAACTGGACGCCCAGGAGCAGTTGGTTGAGCAGAAAGGTGTGCAACTCGCGGTCCAGCTGGTGCAGCGTCCTCTGCTCCACTGTGCGCTGGAACTCCTCGCGCTGCTGCTCCAATGTCCTGGCATAGAGGGCACTCACGCACTCGGTGGCACTGCTGCCATTGCTGCCCCCCAGCAGACGCAGTTGCAGGGCGAGATCGGGATGCGTTCTTGGGCTGAGTCGGTGCCGTTGAATGGAGCCGTCTGTGCCGCAAATTGGTCCCACAGAGCCGGATCCGGAGCCTCTCTTGCGACGCCGCTTGCGGGCATTGCGTTTCTGCAGCTTATGGAGCTGCCGCAGACGCTTCTCCTCCTGGCGCCGCCTCCGCTGGTGACGCTGGGCGGGAATGCCCGCCTGCAGGGCATTGGGCGTGGCACCGGAGTCCACCTGTTCGGGTCGCGACCAGGAGCAGCCCATGACGACGATCGATGATGCTTAACTGAATGCCGCACTGTCTTGCCGTGCCGCCCAAACCGAACCGATACAATTGGCAATCTGCGATCGGAGTTCACCAAGCAGCGAATCTACTAATGACACTCGCAATCGGGCCGATAAGAGCCCGGACTACTTTTCCGGCTGGCCAGCACCTCTTCCTGCCCCCTGTATTTTAACGGAATTGATTTTCCCCTTACCGTGCTGCAAAGGCATACAAAAATGCAAGCGAGCATTTATGATAAAATAATATAATTGATCTGATATTTTGAGATCTTAAAAGGGTATTATTTAAAACTGAATTTTATTCTATTAATAACGATTATAACGATTAATATTTATATTTTATTAATATAATGTTTGCCGGCTCGAGGTCAAGTGACCTCACAAATAATAAACATTGTAATAATAAATGGAATGTCGCCAAAAAATTCAATTTATCTACTAAATAGCCAAAGCTGTGGATCTTTTGAATTCATTTATTAAAAATGCTTTAAATCATTTTATTGATTTATTTTTATGTAATTTTATATATATTTATAATATTTTTTTAAACTTTTTTTTAAAAATTTTTCTTTTTTTTGGATCTAAAAAGTTTTCTACGATTTAAAGAAATAAAGATCTACTGAGAACTTAATCATCAAATCTCTTATTTTATTTTTAAAAAAACAAAGAAAAATTGTATCTAAATAAAAATCTATACAATCTTTGAAGAGCATAAATTAAAAGTCTAACAAATATTTTGTTGCTAATTTCTTTTCTTGGTTACTTCAATAATATGTATATCAATTGAAAAACTGTATTAACTTGGAAATTTAATCTCCACTGTTCTTAATGACACTTGCCCCACTGTGCCATTGTCATGGCCTGTTGTTCTATTGTCTTGAATGTAGACATGGAACATCCATAAATAGTGATATCTTTATGGTGTGCTCTGGGCAAACAATTGATTGAAGTTGAAGTTGATGAGGTGCCCTGTGGCCTTGGCGATGGCCCCTTGATAACAACCTTTGCCCATTACACCGGCTAAATGCTCCCTCCACTTCCCCTTCCTCCTTGCAGGTGGAATCTGTGCAGTGGACGTTCGACAAGACGACGCCGGACGACATCAACGGGGAGCTGAGGCACCTGGCCGAGTTCCTGGCCAACAAGCAGTTCGACCTGGTCATCAACCTGCCCATGAGCGGCGGCGGAGCGAGACGGTGAGTGCTCTACCATTTACCTCCACTCACTGCCGATAACCTAATGCAGTTGATCACCCTGGAGTGGGACCATTAAGTTTGTAATCTAGGCAGCCAGTCGCAAGCCAAGTGGTAAGGCTACGACTGCAAATATTTACATAGGCGCATACGTATCACTCAGTTTTTAACAAAACGAAAAGGGGGGTTACCATAGTTGGTAATACTTCTCCTTTTTTTTTTTGAGCCCATACAAACAAAGCCTGAAAATTAAAACACGAGCCCTGTTAAATATTTATATAGTTTACTATCTAAAGGGAAATGCTTACATGCCAAATTAAATAAGAATGGTTTTGCCAATGTTTGCACTACCCAACTATTAGTCACTTTTTGTAAGCTTTAGTCATGCTTGTGTCAAGTTAAAGTTAAATACTTGTGTAATAGGTAAAACCAATGGTGAAAAATTATTATTTTTAATTATTATTCATTATTATTAGTCACATTTTCGTACTCTCTCCAGTTTTCTGATTAGTTAACCTAATCAGGAAACAGTAAATTACTCGTATACTCTGGTTATACCTTCATTTTTTTTTTAAATGTTGTACTTGATAGTCAATATAAAATGTTAGCCACATTTTATAATCATATTATAAAAATAATGGTAACTTATTATTATAAAATATATATACGCTATATAGTTAAATGCAAGAACTCGTTGCAACGTCTTGTTATGTATATATAATTTTTAACTATAGGGCCGGCATTGCTTTCTTCCGCCTGTTGCATACTTTTCAGCGAATACAATATACCCTTTAACTCTGTGAGTTATGTGTATAAAAAGTTTAAACTTTGCAGTAAAAATAAAAAAAAAATTTTCTTTGTTATATATTAATGGTTTAATATATCAGAATAACGATTTTAACCATATATATATTTTATATATTATAACTTTGCTGTGTTTTAATTTTTTAAATAAACTTTGATATGTAGTAATGGGTTATTATTTCAGAGTTTCGGTTTTAATTTTGTTAAAATAAAAACCTTAATAATTCAGTGAAAAATTTCATACCTTTACAGTTTTTAAACATTTATAGTTGTTTAAAAGAATATTTAGTTTAAGCAAAAACTTCAAGGGTATATAAAGTTTCTTGTTAAATAAGCCGTGCGTGATTGTTTAACTTAATTGCCCAAAAACTTTTAAAATTGTTCGATGTATATAAAGACACAATACGTAAGAACAATAGCTACATAATAAACATTCGATAGAACCACATATGTATGTACTCCGAGAAAACTAAATTCCTTGAATTTAGGATAAATTGCCTAAACTTTAGGAATATAATCTTTAGGTTAAGACAATAATTGCCTTAGGTGTCGTTTTAGGTCATGTTTTCCTAAGTTTTGTATGGAGGGCTCAAATTTAGGGCAATTACTCCTAAAATGGAGCCAATTTATCCTAAAATAAAAAAAAAAATGGTTTTCTGGGTATATATGAGGTTAAAAGGACACTTACACCGAGGCACTTTCAAAAACAGTCACCTCAATAAGCATATTTCTGCACATTATTTCAGGGTATCGTCCTTCATGACCCATGGATATCGCACCCGCCGTCTGGCCGTGGACTACTCGATCCCGCTGGTGACCGACGTCAAGTGCACCAAGCTGCTGGTGGAGTCGATGCGCATGATGGACGGCGGCAAGCCGGCGATGAAGACGCACACGGACTGCATGACCTCGCGCCGGATTGTGAAGTTGCCGGGCTTCATCGACGTGCATGTGCACCTGCGCGAGCCGGGCGCCACGCACAAGGAGGACTTTGCCAGCGGCACAGCCGCCGCCCTGGCCGGCGGAGTGACCCTCGTGTGCGCCATGCCCAATACCAATCCGTCGATCGTGGACCGCGAGACATTCGCCCAGTTCCAGGAGCTGGCCAAGGCCGGAGCCCGTTGCGACTATGCCCTGTATGTGGGCGCCTCGGACGCGAACTGGGCGCACGTACACGAGCTGGCCAGCCAGGCATGCGGTTTGAAGATGTACCTCAACGACACCTTCGGCACATTGAGGCTGAGCGACATGACCGCCTGGCAGCGGCACCTCTCCCACTGGCCCAAGCGGGCGCCCATCGTCTGCCATGCCGAGAAGCAGAGCACGGCGGCGGTGATCATGCTGGCCCATCTGCTGGACCGTCCGGTGCACATCTGCCATGTGGCCCGCAAGGAGGAGATCCAGCTGATCCGCGCCGCCAAGGAGAAGGGCGTCAAGGTGACCTGCGAGGTGTGTCCGCACCACCTCTTCCTCAGCACCAAAGACGTGGAGCGGCTGGGCCAGGGCATGGCCGAGGTGCGGCCGCTGCTCTGCTCGCCCGAGGACCAGGAGGCGCTGTGGGAGCACCTCGAGTACATCGATGTGTTTGCCACCGACCATGCGCCGCACACGCTGGCGGAGAAGCGCGGGGAACGTCCGCCGCCGGGCTTCCCGGGCGTGGAGACCATACTGCCGCTGCTCCTGCAGGCGGTGCACGAGGGCCGTCTGACGCTGGAGGACATCAAGCGCAAGTTCCATCGCAATCCGCGCAACATCTTCAATTTGCCCGAGCAGGCGCACACCTATGTGGAGGTGGACCTGGACGAGGAGTGGACCATCACCGGCAGCGAGCTGAAGAGCAAGTCCGGCTGGACGCCGTTCGAGGGCACCAAGGTGAAGGGCCGCGTCCACCGGGTGGTGCTGCGCGGCGAGGTGGCCTTCATCGATGGCCAGGTGCTGGTGCAGCCCGGCTACGGCCTAAATGTGCGCTCCAAGCCCGGCCAGCTGCCGTCGGAGGCGGCCCAAGATCTGCTGCCCAGCGACAGCGATGCCAATGACTGCTTCGCCCGCCTGCTGACCGCCGAGGGTCAGGCCACCCAGGGCGCCCAGGGCTCATCGTCCGCCAAGGTGCACTTCGTGGACGGCGCCAACTTCCTGCGCCCCATTTCGCCGTCGCCACGCGTCCGTTTGGACTCCACCGGCAACACCACGCTGCGGGAGTACCTGCAGCGCACCTCCAGTCCCAATCCGGTGGCCCACTCACTGGTGGGCAAGCACATCCTGGCCGTCGACATGTTCAACAAGGAGCACCTCAACGACATCTTCAACCTGGCCCAGCTGCTCAAGTCGCGGGTAACCAAGGATCGTCCGGTGGACGAGCTGCTGCGCGGCAAGATCATGGCCAGCGTCTTCTACGAGGTGAGCACGCGGACGCAGTGCAGCTTCGCCGCTGCCATGCTGCGCCTGGGTGGCCGGGTGATCACCATGGACCAGATCACGTCGTCCGTGAAGAAGGGCGAGACCCTGGAGGACAGCATCAAGGTGATGGCCAGCTACGCGGACGTCATGGTGCTCCGTCATCCCACTCCCGGAGCCGTCGCGGTGAGTAGAGGGGCGGGGTGAACAGTGGGTCCAAGCCAGGACATGCATAAGTCCTTGCCGCTACGTAAAAAACACATTTCTTCATCAATAAAACAACCGCCGGTTAAATGTCGCCTTGATACATACATAGTCGCGTAATAACACAGGGCAACACAAAATTTGAGCAGGCCCAACTGCATTTAATTTTGGTAAATTGGACCTTTCTAGACACAGTTTTCTACTACATCTATACTTCATCAGCTCTGGTTTTTGCTTTATAACGCATTAATAATGTTATCTAAAAGTCCTTTCCGCTATGAAAAAATACATTTCTTCACCAACAACAATTAATAAATTGGGCTTTTCTTGTCACTCAGCTCTGGTTATTGCATTATTTAAAATTAAAAAATAATCACATTTTATTCCTTTTTTTTGTAATACCTTAAATAATGGTATACCAATTTTAGTAAAATTCAATACATATGTTTCTCAAAACTATTTTGAAATTGTCTTTCATTCGTTTTTCCCAATGATCAATAACAATTAATTTGCAAATAGCTCACTAAAATTGGTTGGTCTTTCGTTAAAACATAATCAAACAGAAGAATAAAAAATGTGATTTTCTTAAATTAGAAAAAAAATAAAATGGCAGAGCTGATTGTGCAATGGGAAAATATGCTTTCTTTCTTAAATTTCTTGAAAATTATTTACTGCAGTGTTTTGAAAAGTAAATTTTTATAGAACTGTTAGCAGTTTTAATTGTTCTTGAAAAACTAAATCATTTTAAAAGTATTTTAAACCTTATTTATATTTATTGGTAACAAAGCATTGATATAATTTAAAACTAATGTTTTCCTATGCCTTAAGGGTATGTTTTTGAGCAGTTTACATTGTATTATGTACTATTATTACGGCCGCAGCTGTGCATAGATGGGGTACAGAAATATATTAACTATTGCATAGGGCTTTTTTTATTTAATTTTATTTAATACAAACTAATTATTAATATAAATCGTACAAATTTAAAATGAAAAAATTAAGGCAGTTTGTAAAATTTTTTCTTGTATTTCACTTGCCAATGCGAATTTTGAGTTTATTATAAATGATTTGAATATAATTATCTTAATGAAGAAAAAAGCTTTGAATTTTCATTCCGATTCTGCACTATCAATCTTTTAAAAGCTTCTGGATTTAAGAAATTTTATTATTTTGATATTATATCCGAAAAGTAAATTTTATTTTGACCTCGTAATGATGCCAAGTTTAACAGCATTTTAAATAAATAAAATCGACAATCTTATTAATGTTAAATCTTAAAAATTACTCATGATATACGATGTACATTTTTACCGCTTTGTGGATAATAATTTTGGTAAATTCCCTAACAGCGCGCTGCCACCTTTTCCCGCAAGCCGCTGATCAATGCCGGCGACGGCGTGGGCGAGCATCCCACGCAGGCGCTGCTGGACATCTTCACCATCCGCGAGGAGATCGGCACGGTCAACGGCCTGACCATCACGATGGTGGGTGACCTGAAGAACGGCCGCACCGTCCACTCGCTGGCCCGCCTGCTGACCCTGTACAACGTGACCCTGCAGTATGTGGCGCCGGAGAGCCTGCAGCTGCCCCGCGAGATCGTCCAGTTCGTGCAGCAGCGCGGCATCAAGCAGTTCTTCGCCAGCCGACTGGAGGAGGTCCTGCCCAGCACGGACGTGCTCTACATGACGCGCATACAGCGGGAGCGATTCGACAGCGAGGCGGACTACCAAAACGTGAGTGATGCCTCCATTATCCCTTTGATTTTCCATATACATATATGCATATATATATCCACAGTGCTGCGGCCAGCTGGTGGTTACGCCCGAGCTGATGACGCTGGCCAAGAAGCGCTCCATCGTGCTGCATCCGCTGCCTCGGCTGGACGAGATTAGTCGCGATTTCGACTCGGACCCGCGGGCCGCCTACTTCCGGCAGGCGGAGTACGGCATGTACATCCGGATGGCCCTGCTCGCCATGGTTGTCGGCGGTCGCAACACGGCGCTCTAGAGGATTCCGCCCCGGCCAACCCACTCCATGACTCTCCATTTTTTGTATACAACTTTTTATACTTTTTATATGTGCTGCAGCATACGAATATATTGTTCCATTTGGTTAAACTGTCTGTTTTTAATGGGGTGGACCGATTACTTTAAATGAGAGGAGCTCCCGGAGATCAGCTGTAGCTCTCGTTCAAATACATTTGTTTACTAATATTATGTCTTAAAATACAATTAAAAGATACCATAATATGTGAACAAATTTGAAGGTTAATAAAATTAAAAGTTTCCTTCCTTTGGTCTTCTTACTGTATAAACAACAACAACTTAAATTCGAAGAATTTTTGTAAAATAAAAAAAAAAAGATACGATGGTTTTTATTTGGTTTGTCCGTTTTTTGATTATTAATTAATTACTCGTTTGAATTAGCGCTTTTGAAATTGCGGTTTTTTAGTGGGAATAGATTGGTTGTGTGAACAGTGTGAGTGTAGGAACAGATAAGGGGAAAATGAAATTTCACCATCTGGTCACACTGGCATCGCAGCGAATTGTAAAATTGTTGAGAAACAGCGGATTTATTTCGCTGAACTGCCAACAGGTGGAAGTGGAGGTGGAGGACTCCATTGGTTGCGGAATTTGCGGGAAAGGAAACCCATAACCATGGCGCTGGCCATCAAGAAGCGGTTCGGCTCCTACGTGAGCACGGTGGACGCGGACGGTGCGCCGGCGGTGAAGAAGCTGCGCCTGCAAACACTGGCCGCCGATGCGAAGGCTGCCACAGCCGGAAAAGCGGAAAATGCAGAGCGCAAGCTGACGGCGCTGGCCCAACTGGATGTCTATGTGGGCAGCATCACCAGCAGCAGTAGCTTACCCGCCGGCTTGTCGGCCCTGCCCACTGGGCCAACGGCTCAGGTCCCAATGGGACCCACGCCCACAGCAATAGCCATAGCCACAGGCACAGGCACAGCCACAAACACAAACAACAATGGGGCAGCCACCACAACAGGAACCGGAACCGCCGGCGGAAACAGCCGCGAACTGCTGGAGCTGCTGGTGAAGATCACCGATGAGATATCCTACGAGGACGTGGAACTGGCCGAGCTGAAGGAGGCGGCCAACAAGATATTCACGCTGTACCAGCTGCAGGAGCGCGACAGCGACACCTCCATACGGGTGAAACTGCTGGAGCTGCTGTCCGGACTGGGCTGCGAGTGCGCCACCGAGCAGGCGGTCACCCTCATCATCGACTACTTCATCTTTCTGCTGCGCAAGGAGGTCTCCCAGAAGGTGCTGGCCCAGGGCATGATGTGCCTGTTCCGGATCGGGCAGCGTCGCAAGCACCTGGTGCCCATCGCCTACAACACCCAGGTGGCCCATTTGGCCAAGGAGCAGCTGCGCTCCGGCTCCACGCATACGCAGAAGAACGCAATGCTGGTGATCGGACGATTTGCCACCAAAATGGAGGGCGAGCGGCACTACGTGTGGAAGCTAGCGTTCTACATCGACTCGCAGGACTCGGGCGTGCGTGCCCAAGCGCTGCACGCCCTGCTGACCCTCGGCGAGCGGGGATCCCAGCTGCCGGCGGTGCTCTATCGGCGCGCCGTCGAGGCCATGAAGGACGACTACGAGTGCGTGCGCAAGGAGGCGCTGCGGCTGGTCTTCATGCTGGGCAACCGGCATCCGGACCACATAATACCCTCCGATCGCCAGCAGGAGGAGCTGCGCATGATAGACGCCGCCTTCAGCAAGGTGTGCGAGGCCCTCTGCGATCTCTCGCTGCAGATACGCGTGCTCGCCGCGGAGCTGCTGGGCGGCATGACCGCCGTCAGCAGGGAGTTCCTGCACCAGACGCTGGACAAGAAGCTGATGAGCAACCTGCGCCGCAAGCGGACGGCACACGAGCGTGGCGCCCGTTTGGTGGCCAGCGGCGAATGGTCGTCGGGCAAGCGGTGGGCGGACGATGCGCCGCAGGAGCATTTGGACGCCCGGAGCATCTCGATCATAGCTAGCGGAGCCTGCGGCGCCCTCATCCATGGGCTGGAGGACGAATTCCTGGAGGTGCGCACAGCGGCCGTGGCCTCCATGTGCAAGCTGGCACTCTCGCGGCCGGACTTTGCGGTGACCAGCCTGGACTTCCTCGTCGACATGTTCAACGACGAGATCGAGGACGTGCGACTGAAGGCCATCTACAGCCTGACGGCCATCGCCAGGCACATTGTGCTGCGCGAGGACCAGCTGGAGATCATGCTCGGCTCGCTGGAGGACTACTCGGTGGACGTGCGCGAGGGACTGCATCTCATGCTGGGCGCCTGCCGCGTCTCGACGCAAACGTGCCTGCTGATGGTGGTGCAGAAGCTGCTGGATGTGCTGGCCAAGTACCCGCAGGATCGGCACTCCACGTACGCCTGCATGCGCAAGATTGGCCAGAAGCATCCGCATCTGGTGATGGCCGTGGCCGTGCACCTGCTCTTCGTGCATCCCTTCTTCGAGACGCCCGAGCGGGATGTCGAGGATCCGGCCTACCTGTGCGTCCTCATACTCGTCTTCAATGCCGCCGAGCATCTGGTGCCCATCATCAGCCTGCTGCCCACGGCCACCCATCGCCACTACGCCTATCTGCGGGACTCGATGCCCCACCTAGTGCCCCAGCTGCCCATCGAGGGCGCCTCCTCGGCCAGTGCCACCCACAGGATCGACTCGGCCATGCGCCAGGCGGGCAGCTCGGCGGAGTACCTCCAGATGATTCTCAGCCACATCGAGGAGATCTTCACCATGGCCGACGAGCGCGTGGAACTGCTGCAGACTGCTCAGTCCAATCTGCAGGTGGGTTTCCAGGAGTGTTGGTTACACTCGCGCACTTTTTATTGAGTGAACAAACTCACTCAATTTGTTCACTCACTTGTTCAGTTGTTCAGTTGCTCATTTTCAAACTAACTCAATTTGTTCACTCACTTGTTTAGTTGCTCACTTATTAACTTGTTCAGTAGCTCATTTGTTCAGTTGTTTAATTGCTCACTTACGAACTCACTCACTTTGTTCACTGACCTGGTCGGTTGATCAGTTGCTCACTTATTTATTTGTTCAGTTACTCACTTGTTCAGGTGATCACTTGTTCAGTTGCTCACTTTCAAACTCACTCACTTCGTTTCCCCACTTGTTCAGTTGCTCACTTATTAAGCTGTTCAGTTAGTCACTTGTTCAGGTGATCACTTGTTTTGTTGCTCATTTGTTCAGTTATTTATTTGCTCAGTTATTTAGTTGTTCAGTTGATCAAGTTTACTCACAAGTTTCACTTGCTGACAATTGTTTTGGTTTTTATACTGTCTTATTTGACCGATGTTATTGTTAACATCCCTCCGATCACACATTATAAAATCAGTACAATGTGAAATGGCGTATTTGATATCATATACATATATAATTAAGTAATATAAGGAAAGAACTAGTCAGCAAATAAAAGCATCTGCTTAACTGAATAACTGAACTGTGAGCAAAAATGATCAATAATTGTGAACATGTTCAGTTCAGTCACCTAAGTGAACAACTCTTTTTTGTTCGACCATTCATGAGCAACCCAACTCTAGTTTCCAGGTCCCCTCAGTAATTATTAATATTATTATTATTGATCTTATGTTTTCATAAATTTTAGCGATTGGGAGCCATCGATGCGGGCATGTACGGCACCTCGAACTTTCTGGAGACCTTCCTGGCGGCCCAAATCCAGATCGAGCAGATGCAGCGCTGCGCCAGCACGCAAAGGAGCCGCATTCCGTTGAAGGAATCCCTGGCGGCACTCATCCGCAACTGCCTGAAGCTGCAGCACACGTTCTCCGGTCTCAACTACGGCGACATCCTGCAGGTGAAGCAGCTGCGATTGCGTGCCTGCGCCCTGCACTTGGTCCTGGTGGTCAGGGATCGCTCGCAAAGCGCCCTGGGTCCCTGCCAGATGCTCCTGCAAACCGCCGGCGATATCAGCGAGTTCATACGGGCGAACACCAGGGAGGAGGAGGAGAAGACGCCGGCGGGAGCTTTGCCATTGCTGGAGCCCGAGAAGGTGAAGAAGGAGCCAGCCGGTGGCAACGATGCCCAGCCGGATAGCTTCACGCGCCAGCTGCTGAGCAAACTGGATGGCATATCGGATCCCAAGCCGGGTCGCGTCTTCCGCGAGATTCTGCCCTTGGTACAACAGGCTCCGCCGCTGGCACTGCCGCCGGCCAATGACAAAATCCGACGCTGTGTGGCCAACATCCTGGAGCCATGCCCGCTGCAGTCGCAGGACAATGTGATCAAGGTCACGGCGGGCCTGATAGCGGCCGTTCCCTTTGTGGCCGAGATCGACAATCTGCTGGAGTCGCAAATGGCGGACATGAGGATCAAGATCAAGTATCCGGACCAGCACATGCACACGGTGGTCCCGAAGCGCAGCGACTTCAAGCCCATCATGACGGAGCAGGGGGAGCACGAGACGAACGTGCGCCTGCGCACCACCATCCTGCTGTCGCACAGCGTTTGGACGGAGTCGTCGCTGGTGGAGATCCAACTGTGCCTGGCCGTTCGTCCCGGCAGCGAACTGGAGCTCTGCAAGCCGGCCAAGGTACTCTTCGCACCGAAACCAGTCAGGCGGGGAATTTAGCCTGACTCGCGTCAGGATGGACTAGCTGGAGTATGCGCTGTGGATGCGGACCTCAAGGCGACACTGCCCCGGAATCTGGAGTCGGAGCAGGTCGATGCATGTGCGAGTGGACGGCGCCGGCGGCGGAGGAGCGGAGTGAAAAGCTGACAAGGCCACACAGCCGCTGGAGGAGCAGACGAACTGGGGGGATTAGCAATTGTTGGCTAAATTTCAGGTCTAAGATATTCGTTGGATAGATTGTGTAAGGCATCAGCTGTGTAACATGTACTTTTCCAGTTCAAATAACAAACTATTTACGAGAAATAACGTTTTGTAAAATAATAAATCCAAATATTACTTCAATTATAAACGAAGGGAGTATTAATGAGAAATTGGTATGTGTGGGGTAGGGTAAATGGAAGAAATGATTTTCTTAAATTTAAAAAAAACTCTTAAACTAGCATATTTATAACTGATATTCGAAATACTTTAATCCATAACTGAATTTAATTAAATCATAAAGTAAACAAATAAAATACAACACCAACACTTTTGTTTTTTATATAGTTTCTATAGTTTATTTCTCATTATAGGTTTTACAGCTTACACGATTTCTGATCTTTTAATATAGCATTTTCTCCATTTGCTCGTTTTGATTTTCCTGGGCAAAGAATTTTCTTCAGATTGTTCTGATCTGGTTGTGGTTTTATAGACGCTGCTTTTCTGCTGCTTGTTTGTTGTATATGAATTTGTTAATCTTAAGTTTATATTTGATTCGCTAAAAACTCATTTTAAAAAAGTACTTTGTATTCTTGTTTTTTTTTTTCATTTGTTTTCGATTTTGTTCTGCATAATATTTAATTTGTTTATAGGCCGTTGGTTAGCAATAATAATTGTTATAATCATATGCAAGTAAATTGTTCAAGTTGGATATTACTGAGTGGTTAGATAAGTAGTTCTTGTTGTAAACATGTTCAATAATGCTGTGAAAAATATACAATACAAACACATTAGTTTCCGAACCACACAAACACTCAAAAGCCGATTATTAATCGCTTATCGCTAGTCGTTAATTGTTCATCGTGTCTTTTTTGTTTCATGCTAGGAATCACAGTATTGTGCAAATTACCTTTATTAGTTTCAAAAATGTTTTGCATGGTGTTGACTTGCGCTTATTAAAGTGTGTAAATGTTTATGATTCTGTAAATGTAAATGGTATGATGTAAAATAGAACCAGACACAGGCAGTGCATTTTTTGTTGTTGTTGTGGTTCTCTCACTATCGCTATCGATGCCGTTATCGCTATCGCTTTTTCTGGCTCTGTCATCGAAGACGAACGATTATTTCGATAATTCCACTGATGAACACTTTAGTTTGTTTTTCATACGACAAAAGAGGAAATATTAGTTTAGTTTAATTGGTTAACTTTTGGTTTTTCGGTTTTCCACATTGTTATTGACTATTTTGAGTTTTTATTTTGGGAAATCACAATATCTATGCAAAATCTTATAAATCTCTCTATATGTTTTGTGTATATATATATATTTATATATATATATATATATATCGCTTTCTCGTGAACATTAGATTTAGATCGTTGTCCTCTATACTGTAAATATATATATTATATATCATATATCCATATATACGTTTGTATAGCAAGTTTTGTTTGTATTGTTTTATGTAGTTCCTTTGTCTTGTTGTCCTTCCATGTCCTTTCTGATCTAGTTTCCTACTTCCCTTCGCTCTACTTCCTCCTCGTATATCTGTTATATCAATCGTTGGGATATGCGTGGTGCAGGTGAATTGTATGTGGATCGTTCGGTTGTCTCCCAATTTTTGTGTGGGTTCGGTTTTTGGGGAGGTCTTGGTATTGGGTATTGGGTATTCGATTCGATTTGATTGAAAACTATGCTGAAGCCGGGGATTATAGTTCATTACAAATAGCTAATTAATATAACAACAAACAGAACGCAGTGCACAAAATATGAGTTATCAAATTACACGCCTCCTCTTTTTTCATTTTTAAATCTATGCAAAATTTGACTAAGCAACCCTGTATGTTCGTTAAAGACCAAATAATCGTAAGCTTATTTATCCACCTAATATACTTAATATACTGCCTAATTCGCAAATAAAACTGAACCGTTCAAATTAAGTCCGTTCTGGAATTGTTTTTTTTTTGGGTGTCGATTTAAGCGTTGTGGGTAATCTAAGAAGTTCAAATATATTAGTTGACATATTCGGATCGAGTTTTTTTTAAAAAATTCAAAGCATCTCTTGTCTTAAAGCGGCAAAGGTTTTTAAAAAACAAAAAGTGTGTTTTTTTGCATTTATTTTGTTTTTTTATTGTGTTTGTTTAGACTCTAATGCCACTTGGTGTGTTATTAGTACAAAAAAAATATGAATACATTATTATTATTACAGATATCTGGATTAAGTGGAAACCTGAGACGCAACCTGCATCTCACGGGTTTTAACATTTTCTTTAAAATAAGAGGGAGTACCATATGGAACAATTATAGGTATTTAGCTGCATATTATAGTAGGTTACAATGACCGACTCGTAGAAGTGGGCCAACTAATTTGTTAATTAACTAATTTGCTTTACTTAAAGAATTAATGGACAAAATGAAAGGATTCTGTTTAAACACTATACGCGAAAAATTGCATTAGACTATGGACGAAAATTGGAACTTAAATATATGAATTGCCGACGACGAAGGGAATATATATTACTTCTGCTTCGCCTGGATTACTTGAACTGGCGCTGGAAAACCTGCTCTGCCTTTAAGTCTTTGATTGTGGCAAGAAGTAAACGAGGTCAAGTTGAAAATTTGACTTGCTGCTAATTGAACACATCGATATTTGGTTAGTTATACATTAACAAGCAGTTCTGTACTATATAATTGATTGCAAAGTAGTCAAGGCATTATCTTTGCAATTCAGTCAATCATTGATCGAAGCTGCCTGATGGTTCTTATTTAAGCCTTCTGTTTTGTACATTTTGAACAAGTCTTAGTTTAGATTAGACTGGAATCGTTACATCTGTCGCTATTGCATTCATTTCATTTCAATCCCTCTTTGGTTTACAAAACTCGACTCGATTTCCATGTAGATATATATCCTTGTGCCACTAACAACTAAAGGTATTTCGACAAAAAAAATTATTACACAAACAGACATCGTCATTAATTGTTCTTTTCCTTCTTCATACATTTCTCAACGTTACATTCATTTTTGGTTTCTTTTTTTTTTTTTTAAGCTTACACAAAAGTTTTTTTTTTTGTTTTTGAAAAGGCGTTTTACTGTTTGCTATAATAAATTTATAAGCCAAAAGAAGCAAAATTATATGCTTTAAATTCATGCGAGATTTCCATCACTTTACAATTGTTTTCTTTTGGTTTTTTTTCATTTTCGTTTTATGTTATTTATAATTTTGTTTCTTTGTTTTTGCAGACACTTAAAGCAGTTTTCGTTTTACACATAGAATTACACAAAGTATTTGGTTTAAGGGGCATTTAAGTCGGTTGAAGAAAACCAGGAGAACAAAGGGCAAATGAATCCCAGCCACGCCTCTTAGACGTAGGTGGCCACGGCTCCGGCTGCAGCTCCTCCATTGCTGGCAGAGGCTCCTCCGGCTCCAGCACCGGCGGAAGCTGATCCCGATGCTCCGGCCGCTGCCGATCCGCTTCCCGATCCTCCAGCGGTTGGCGCCGCCTGATGCGCCGCAGCGGAATTGTTTAGGGGTTGTGGACTAACCGGCGGCTGAAGCTTTCCAGGAACATACTGACCGATGAAGGAGCCGTCCTCAGTGAATTGTCCTGGGGTGAAAGAGAAATTTCAAAATTAATTACCATTAATTTCACATAGTTGCACCAATTCTTTCTATTTTCATATTATCGTTTCTAAGGGTTTTGAATTATTGGAGGATGCCAGAGAAATCTTAAAAGGTTTGTAATCCTTGAATTAATACCTAAGCCCTTTTTAAAATGGATATGATAGTGATATTATTATTTGATATTGATATTATTTTTTTGTTATTATTATTTGATATTTTTATTATTATTTTTCAAATAAAAGGCAGGAATGTTTTCGAAAAAAAATACAACAATAATAAAAATTCTTAGTTTTACAATAATAAAGGCGCAGAATTTGAATTTGTTTAATTCATGGTAATTTACGGATTAATATATATAATTTTAAATATTTCAGTGGCACTTCCATTAAACCTATATTTTATTAAACTGGTGCAAAATGTTAAGTTATGAAAACAACATAAAATTGTGTCTTTTCTGTGTTAGTAATACTATTTTTACTCGTGTTAACCACAACCAACACCAGTGCAGTTAAGCTTTCCTTATAATCGCGGTTTGTATTATTAAAAGTTATTTTTAACTTAGTTAGTTTTGTTATCATTTTTGTCTTGGGTTGGGTTGAAGGCGAGGGGAGTTGGTTAATCTAAAACTACTTTGGCAAGAAAACTACAACTACAAATAAGTCTATATAAAAATTAAACAAATTGCTTGAAAATATACTCAACTTTACCTTGCAAATATGTCAGCTCAAAATGATGATTAGCCAAAGAAAATAATAACGTAAACGTATTCGGTTTAACCAAAACTCAATGACGTACAGAAGATTGTGAAAATAAAATCTATTAAGCGCTATACAGATTATAATCTCCAAAAATCTAAAAGTTTTAAAACAAGCATGCATTTTTATATACCGTGATTTCGGTCAAATGCAAATTTCAAATAATTTCAAAGTCTACACAATTGTCATTGTTTATTATTCGGTTTTCTTTATTTTATTTGTTTTCTTTCTAATTCGATATGCGAAAGTACATCATACATATATAAAAAAAATTATATTTTCATATAATTATGCTGTTCTCTTCATTCATTCTTTAATATTAAATACATTGAAAAAAATATACTTATTTTGTTGCTGTTCCCGGAAAACAACTCGGGAAGGAAACGTTTTTACATTTTAGAACATTGTTTCACTGTCCAAAAACAAAGCAAATGAATTCAAAGTCATTACACAAACTAAAAAAATTAAATACAGAAATAAAAACAAAATTCACACAGTAGGCTTAAATAAAGTAGTAACCATGTAAGCTAAAAGGATTTCTTTTTGATTTTCGGCCAAGCTAAAACGGAGATTTTACATTCGAGTGTTGTTTTATAAAAAAATTATTAAATTATAACTAATTTACGCTTTATGTTTATAAATATATATATGCATTACAAGTAAAAAGAGGGAGAAAGCGGGACAGAGATATACAGAGTGCAGGGGATAGAGTGGGACAGGTAGACATGTGCGCAATTTAGAGATTTTAAAAGCGAGCTTCATTTTTTTTCTTATAGTTTCTTAATTTTCTTAACAAAAAAAATTACACGCAGCTGCCCGTTGTGGTCCAGAAAAATATTTATATGATTATTTCATCTTGTTTGTTTTAATTCGCATGCATTTTCTTTCTCGATTACTACTTCTTCCGATGAAGACATTTATTTCGTTAATAGCCTTTTTGCTGCATCCTCGCTGTTGTTGTTGCTATTGTTGTTGTTGTTGTTGTTCATGTTGTTTGGCAGTTTTGATTTGCTTTTGTTTTTACACAATTCTAAATTGTAATATTTATATATAAAACCTCTTTTTTTATATATAATATATATAGATATATATTTTAAATTATTGGTCGTTTTTGCACTTAATCGAATGATAATTAGTTAATACCCAATCATGGTTGGGTAGCATTTCTTTATTATTTCCATAAGTTTTTCTTTTTCTGCTGTGATGGTGTTTGGTCTTGTTGATATTTGGGGTTGGGTTAAGGGCTCGGTTTCGATATTTTTTGAGTTGCTGTTGCGGCGCGCTGCTTACTAATTAAATCAAAGTCCTTTGCGTCCATATTGGCCAATAAAGGATCCATCTTCGTTCATGCCTGGATATTGGTTGTCGTTGTCGATTTGTTAAAGTTTTTTTTTTTTGTTTCATTTTAGGTGGTTTAGAAAAAAGAAAAAATGATACAAATATAATATAAATAAAATATGGTGCAGTTATAAATAATAAATCATATGAAACATATAAACAAAGAACACATAACAAGGAACACAAAACATGTGAAATATGGGAAATGTCTGAAATCTTTTTTTTTTTTTATCGCCGATCAAATTAAGCTTTAATCGATTTTTTTTTTGCACTAGTGGAGAGCAAATAAATGAAGGCTCTCTCCGGCAAAAGGCGCGAAAGTTGTTAGTAATAAAAGAGAACGAACAGTCAACTTCGTGCAGAGTTCAATGAATCAATCAAGAGAAAGCAAAAGCTTCGGCTTTATAACGGCAGAGGCTCTCTTCGGTTGCCTGGAAGGAGTTTGAGCAAAGCGCGAAAGAGAGCAGCCTTGATCTTCATGCAGCATCTTGGAAGTGGCAGAAAAAAAGAGATTGTGCTGCAAACCCAGCGGTGGCCATCGATTTGACATTGAAAATCCCAATACCTTTGTATAACAATTATGTTTAATTAAATATCTTGCATATTATATATTGCAAATGATTTAAGTATTATAAAAGCATATATAGTTTGATTTTATTGAATGGTAAAACCCTTGATAATACAAGCATTTAATTAATAATTGGAACCTTACATCATAATGCAATCAATTTTTGTTTGACATTTTATAAATACAAAAGGTATTTTAATTTCCATAAGACAATCGTGCATTTTTAGTGACCACCACTGTAATGATATGAAGCTTCCTCTTTAAAGCACAAGGAAACAAAAGAGCCGCAGAACTAATTAAGGAAGAGCTACCTGACTGATTGAATTACAACAACAAAACCGGTCTGGGAGGAAGAGAAGGGTAGAGTAGAATGGAGCTCCACTCTCTTTTAGGCTTTGCGGTGCTCAGAATCCGCCATGCAAAGTTCGTAGGAAGGCGGGGCAGCGGAGGGGGTGACGGAGTTGCTGACAGTGGGAGTGGGAGAGACCGAAGAGAGTATTGGAACTGGAACGTCTGACGACGTCGATGTCGATGTCGACGGCCGTTGCTGTTGCAGTTGTTGTTGTTGCTGTTGGGCGGACGCTGACGATGACGTTGGCAACGACGTCGATTTGCTGCGGGCTGCGGCAGCGGCGCGAGCAGCGGCAGTGGCCACAGCTGATCGTTATCCAATATATTCCATTAATAATTTTATCCATTTTTATTTTTATTTCCACCACATCCCATACAATCGTCATCAATGCGAACCAAAAACAAATGTGGCAAAGAAATCAAGAGAGTGAAACAACCAAAGAGATAAAAAAAAATCACAATGATAAGTTTGGGGTGGGGTGCTAGACTTAAGCCTAGAAATGTAACTTTTATTGGTCCACCGATTTATCCTAATAACGGTAATGCAGCGCCTTAATAAATTTGTTGTTCTATCCATATAAAAATAACAACATTTTTATTGAACAACATGCTTTCAAAATTATATTTTAAAATTTTCTTTTAATCGTATTTTAAGATCATAAAAAAAACTACTAAAAATGGATTAAAAACATTAAAAAAAAATTCTACTTTTACCAATGCAGTGAGCAACAATGAAAGAACAGTCTAAAACATTCTAAAGTAGCATTACCGTTTTCATGGACAATCAGATAATGGAGAGGGGGAGCACTAGACATACTCTATGATATCTCGATATACATATTATATATGTATATATTGGAATAAAGGAAGGATTCTAACCTGTGTCGCCATCGCCGTATTCGGCCATCGAATCGGTATCGCTTTCCACGCCAGGTTTGTTCGCTGAACTCACGGATTGGCGACCAGCGCTCTTGTTATCCAACCTGTAATTTAATTGGAAAACATTATTGATTTGTTATCGAAAATAATCGGCTTAAGCTAGATTTTAGCTGAGCTCGCACAAAGGAAAATAAACATACGGACTTCTGACCAATTTTATAATACCCTCTTTCAACAAGGGTGTAAATACGATAAATCTGATTTTCTGTAAATGTCGATATATCTAGGTTTATGCCATTATTTTAATTGAAACCAAATCAAATAGTTTTTTGTTTTGATTTAATTTAATTAGTCCTGTATTTGTGTACTTACGGTTGCGAGTACTCGTGGAAACCACCTTCTTCGGGATAATCCCGCCGGCCGTTGGCCAGCTCCCGATCGTGGACATCGTACTTGCCGCCCCGATTGCGTCGGATGATGCAGATGATGATGAACAGGAGGATGATGAAGGCCAGGGCCAGCATCATGCCGATAAACCAACCTGCATTGGCCACCGTCTTGTTCGCCACCATTATCGGTCCCTCCACGCTGTTCGAGTCGATCTCCTGCGTGGCACTCTCCGTGTAGAAGTGCCCATCCACGGAGACCACGCGGAACTCGTACACTGTCTCCGGATCCAAGCCGCCCACTTCCTGGTAGTCCAAATTCTTTTCCTGATTCTCTCGTATCCATTGGGTTTCGCCCTTGATCCTGGTTTCGCAAGTAGGTTGGTAAATTTCCATTACTTTTATGCATTACAATATATATATATATATATATTTTAGTATTACCTGTGCATGGTGAAGAAGTGTGTGCCTGGGTGACCTTCGGAACTTGGTTGCCAGTTGATGCGGAATTTGGCCAGTCCATTGTCGGACGGCAGTTGTTCCCAGGAGAAAGAGGGCGTGGCCGGGGCCACATTGATAGCGTCCTTAAGCGTATTCTTCTCAATGTAGAGCCTATAGAGAGCAAGTATAAAATATAAATTTCATATAATATTTAACAATACTCACTCAGATCCCTCGCCCATTTTGGTGGTGGCCGTGATGGAGATGCGATACTTGGTGTTGGGCTTCAGACCAGCCATCTTCATACGCGTGATCCGGGGATCGGTGATGTGCGGATCGTGCTCACGTCGCTTGCCCACATAGCTCTCATTAACCTCCTCGTAGTAGATCTTGTAGCCGGTGAGCTTGCCATTGGGATACAACGGCTTCTTCCAGTGGAGCATGAAGGCCGACGAGCCGAGAGGATAGGCGTCCAGTGACTGAACCGGTGACGGCACACCCTCTGGGGTGTCGAAGTCGATGACGGCACTGGGCGGGCCATTGAAGCGTCCGTTGTAGGCCAAAATGCGGGCAAAGTTCTTCGAATCGGGCTTAAACTGACTGACCAGGGCATTGTGGGCATCCCCCTTCACATGGATCTCCCGCAGACCCTCCTCGCCCTCGTTCTCCGTCCAGGTCTGGATCTTGTAGCCCTTGAAGTGTCCCCGCACCGACTCCTCGCTCACCGGCGTCCAGGCCATATAGCCACTGGTCGACGAAATGATCTGTCTCATCGTGAAGTTGGTGGGAGCGTCCAGCGGACGATCCTCGCCGGAGTAGCCCTCAATAATCTGGGCAGCCGTATTGGACTCGCCCTTGTCGTTGATGGCCACCACCTTGATCTGGTACTTGACGAACGTCGGCTGATCGGAGATCACAATGTTGTTCTGCCGCCAGTCGTATATGTTACTGTTTTCCCATGCGGCAGCCGGGATGTCGCGTTTCCAGCTCACATAATAGTGGAAATTGGGGGCATTGTGCTCGATCTCCGGCATGGGAGTCCACGAGATGACCAGGTTGTTGGGCTCGGTGCCCTGGCCGACGACATTGTCGGGATTCTTGGACGGCACTTCCGGCTGGGTGGTGCAACTATCGCTGTGCGGCGACGGCGGCGAGGCGCCGATCTTGTTGAAGGCGATCACACGGAACGTATAGTTCGCCCACGGCGACATCTGCAGCACGAACGAGGAGTCCGTGTTGGGCACCTTCTCGTAGGCGGCGTCCCAGGAGGCGGGCGTGAAGGAGGTGTTGAACTGAATGGTGTAGTGGAGGATGGGCGAGCGATTGTCTCCCTGCGGCTCCCACTGGATCTCCGCCTTGTCGGCCTGACAGGTGATGCCCGTGAGTTTGGGCGCATTCGGCACATCCTGCACAATCAAATTGGCCCTGGCCGTGGCCTCATCCAATCGCGTCCTGGCCACGCACGTATACTCGCCCGAATCCAGTTCCATGGTCTTCGCAATCGTCAACGAATTGTCGTTGGTCTTCACGAAACGCGGCTGCGCCTCGAAGTCAATGGACTGGCCATCCTTCCACCAATCGATCTCGATCTCCAGCGTATCGTCGTGGGCCTCGTTGCAGCGGAATGTGGCCGATTGTCCGGCGGCCACCTCATAGTTCTGCGGCTCCTGGGTGATTCTGGTGTGCTCCTTGACCTCCAACGAGCCATCGGCCTGCGCCTCGCCGAACTTATTCTGCGCATAGCACGTATACTGGCCGGCATCCGAGAAGGTTACGTCCTGAATCTCTAGATCACCATTGGCCAGGACATTGTAGCGACCTCCGGTCAGCCAATTGCTGGCTCTCAGCCACTTGACCAGCGGCTTGGGCGAGCCCGACACACGGCACTTGATGGTGATGTTGCGGCCATCCACACTGGACACCGCCGAGGGGGGCACATTGATCGTTGGCGGCTCGGCCTGGACATTCAGATAGACATCCTTGTACACGTAGCCCAGCGAATTGGTGGCGTTGCAACCGTAGTTGCCGGTATCCCCCTTGACCAGATTAACGATCCTGATCGTGTTGTCCGTGACCGTTCGCCGAGGATTGGGCGGACTCTGTTCGATCGGCTTGCCATTGTGTATCCAACTGATTTTGGGCTCTGGCACACCGGCAGCCCGACACTCGAAGACCACCTCCTCATCCTCGGCGGCGGTATTGAATTCGGGCTCTTTGGTGAAGTACGGCACCGAGTTGACATTCAGAATGATGGAGAAGGACTGGGCATTGCCAACGCCATTGGACACGTCGCAGGTATACGTTCCGGCATCGTCGAAGTTCGTTTGCCGTATGATCAGCGATTTGCCGTAGTGACCTTGCGTGATGCGATCGCTCCACTGTATCCGCTGGCCATCCTTGCTCCACACGGTCTGCGGCAGCGGGGTTCCACCGTAGATGCAAAACAGTTCCATTCGCTTGCCACGCAGCGCCAAGGACTGGCGACGGGACACATACTGCCGGATGGGCGGATGCTTGTTCTGGGAGGCACTCACGCCCATCGGCTTGACATCGAGGAGCACCTTGTTGCCGATCTTGTACTCGCTGCGGAACACCGAGGTGGCCGAGCAGGCATAATAGAAGTCCAAACTGGTATCCTCACGGGTCACGTTCGAGAACCAGAGATTGCCCTCGGGATCCAGGGTCATGCGGGAGTTGTTGATCGACTTGATGCTGCCATCGATGGACTCTTGGATCATCCAGTTGACCGTGGGACTGGGGAAACCGTCCGGAGCGGCACACTTCAGCATGAAGGGCTCACCCTCCACGGCCTCCAGGGTCTTGGCCGGCTCGTCCTTGAAGGCATTCAGCTCCGCCTTGCGCACATACACCGAGTTCGAGGTGGCCGTTCCGAATTCGTTGGACGCGAAGCACTGGTAGTGGCCGCGATCCTCGTCCTTGGGAATGGTGATCACCAAGGTTCCACGGCCAGGCTGCCGCAGCATTCGGTTGTCGTAGGCCTGCCAGTCAAACTTTTTGCCGTTCTTGATCCAACTATATCTGTAATGGGACAAAAACAGAGAGAGAATTGTGTCAGCAAAAAGTATTACGATTTTGGACCCTTAACGCTTACACTGATGTATTGATATTTAAAGCTTAATATCTAAATCAAGGATTAAAACCGAAACAATTATCGGTTTCGGTTTTTATTACAACCAATATTACTACTTTTGGTAAAAAAAAAAGTATTTCAAAACAATAAAAGCAATGTACTTTTTCAAATAGAGTCAAGCAAATGATTAAACCATAAATATAATTTACTTTTAAATACCAAGCTGAGTACTTAAGAGGCTATAGTTTTCAGATCATAACAATTAATTGCCTCAGCCGGCGGGATTAACTAATTCACTTAATTGTTTATTCGAACATAAGTCCCATTTCCCGCCTCTTTCCATTAGTAACTCGACAGTTTTCCGCATTTCCTCACTGGCATTCGACTCATTAAGATGTAGACTCTCTAACAACTTAATTTCCACATTTAATTTAGCTTAATCAACATTTCGCAAAGCGGCGAGCAAAGAAGAAAATTAAGACATTTTTTATGCACAAATTATGACAACTTGCTTAATTTCCAATTGCGAAAAATGTTGATTGAAGTGAGTAGTAATCGGGGGAAGGGATATTGAGGGGATGGCAGATTTTTGCTTGTTTCATGTCTCAAGTAATTGCAATTAAGCGGCAAAAGGAAGTCAACGAGCTGAACCCAGTTTTTGCTGATATGTTGTTTAAGTTTATATCTGGCTTCTTTTATCCCGTTCTGTAACTATGCCAGCCGTTAATCTTTATAAATGATATAGATATATAGATTTTGGGGGAAGAATAACTGGCGGTCTTTGAATAATATTTTTCACAAAACTATAGAATACATTTTTGTATGGCTCATTTCAAATGTATTTATTTATATTTCGTTGCATATATATGTTTATCCGCCACTTAACGTCTAACAAACTTTAAATTGTAATGGAAATATAATTGGATGTTAATTAATACCAGGCATTTTTAGTTTCTATTTAAATTGTAGTTTCTGAAGAGCCTACTATTATTTCTACCGCAATTGTAAATAGTTGTAGAATTTTGTATACACAAAACTCAAAAGCTCGAGTCAATTATGTGAACAAGCCGCGCTGCTTGAGCTTGTTAAGCATCTTTTTTTTATTTATTTCTTTTTTTTTTTTTTTTTTGTTTGCCATACTTGAGCAGTATTTTCCAAAGTATCCCCCTTCTCAGCTCTTTTCATCGGATCTTTTTGGGTTCGGTCTTGACGACGGGTCATGCAATAGGTCAATCATTTGAATTGTTTTTAAGTGTTGTAAGTTGAACTGTGAAGAGAACTCTGCTGCATCTGGAGTGGCGAGGGGGGATCGGTGGGTTTGTTGAACTGCAGTCAAAGTGACTCAACTGATTTCATAGGATGCGGTATGCTGATTATGAAGATAGCTTTTAATTGGTTCGGTGTTCCAATTAGAAGTGCTCAGTCGGAATATAACGAAACTTCTTTATAATTTATTGTTATAGAGCTGAATTGGAATTTATTTCATTAAAAGTTTAAAGGCTTTGTCACAGAACTTCAAAAAATCGTAAAGAAATGTGAAAGTTTACATTTATTGTATGTTAATGAATTATTACGAACATTTATTAAATTAATGAAAACCTATGAAATATATAATTATATTGGTTTTTAATAGTTTTCTTAATTTATCAATGTCAATTTATTTCAGTTGCCAGACTTCTCATGAAGGCGAGTTAATTTGTGGCAATGAAAAGTGAATTGCAACCCCTGGCCAATCCTTTCTCCGGGGTCAAAAAGTGAGCCAATGAGACAGCGAAATACCAGGATTTCCATATCAGGCCACGTGCATCGAAGGTGGGAAGGAAACCCTCACTGAAAACAGTCTGAAAGCAGTTACCAATGACACATTAAGCCATCGCACCCCCGCCAAACTGCAAACTATACACCAGGCAAACAAACTGGCCGGCGGGTCAATAAATTGCCGGCCAAATGGCCAAGTGGCTGAAAAGGTGGATGGCAAAGGATAAAAGAGTAGAAGGATACCAGAATACCGGAATACCAAAATACCAGGATAGTGGAGAGGCAGTCAAGCGGTTAAGCACGGCGTCTGTTGCCATCGCTCGACACCATCAAAACATTGGCATTACCTTTACTTTTATACCGCTGCCAGCGGAGCGGTCACCTGAAACGGTTGCCAAAGACAACAACTAAATGGCCAGACAACAGCTGCTCAGCCACACCTTATCGACGCCCACACCGTCACGCCCCCAAGAATTCGCCCATTTGCAAGTTGAGCGATTTGTGCATTTGTTCTTATGATTTTTTCAAAGGGTATCTTGCTTTCTAAGAGGCATGTTAATTAAAAAAACAAAATTGTATTTTAAATTAAATATGGTTTATAACATAAATGGTCCAAAATGGAAAGTATGAACAAAACATATTTAAAGTAAGAAAATATTTTCTTTTTATTGTTTCACTATGTATACTTTTAATACATACATTTTTGCTAGTAGAAAGTAGTTTTAAGTTACATTTCTATATATTTTTTAAACTTAATGAACATTATTTTTAATGTTTCAACCAGGGTATTTTAAGCTTCTTTATCCGCCGTTCGTCTATTCTATCTGTTGTTTACATATCCTTTTTTTAAGCAGCTGCTTGGTGGTAGAGCTCCTTTATTTTACTTCTTTTCCCAGCTCGACACCACTTAACCCCAAAGTGCACTGATAGTTTTAGGGTTGACTTGGCTTCACTTAACTCCCTCGCAGTCCTTTGCCAGTGCAACCCCCTTGCTTTTCCCAATCCCCTAGCATTTTCCTCAGCTGCTTTTGCCAGCCACTGTTCTTGCCGGGCCCTTCAGCGATAGAAATCTGTATGGAAAACGCGCCAAGAAGTGCCAGGACATGGCTGCTGATGACTCATCAGCCCGGCTAAAACACACACATACACGCTGCTTTGCATAATTGTGGGTGGGGCTTGGCGGTTGGGCCCCCTCTTGCTCGGCATTACTTTTTTGGGGTTGCAAAATAACAGAATGCCGTAGCATACTTTTTCGCGCGCTCACAGACGAAGGGAAGTGGATACATGAGAGGCGGGGGGGATATACATGTATAACCCAGTTATATATATATACCTCCATACATTTTCATAGCAGACATACACATACATGCATTTAACTAGGAGTCAAATAATTCCTTTGGTAGCCTTTTTTTTGTATTTTTAGCATAAGTAAATAGGCTCACTTTAAAAATTTGTTGAAAACTGTTGCATAAAGCACTTTAAAGTTTTTCACTCGCAATAAAATTTAAATGAAAATGATGTAATGAAATTATTATGTCAGACCTTTTTTCTTTTTCTGACCACTTTTGTTTTGTACCAATTTTTTTAAATTTAATTTTTGAAAGAAGATTTGTGTAAACTTATTGTGATTGCTTTCATTTTAGTGAACCTGGTTGCTCATGATTTATTTAAGGATTTTCACCATAGGTTCTTTTATTTTGACCGCCACTGTGGGCTAGCGATGGCAAGAAGTAAAAGCAAAAGAGCCAAGCCAAGCCAAAGCCAAAGCCAAAACCGCTTTTAACCGAAGGGAAGAGCTTTGAAAGAGGGGAAGACGGGGGCAAGAGGGGCCCGGAAGAAAGTGGGGGAGACGGCGAGACAGTGGACAGAGTGGTAGGGGGGGTGGACAGACCAAAGTTAAACAAAAGCAGCAAGAAGGGGCCAATATGAGTATTAGGTCTAAGGCAGCCGCATCCTGCACTTAGCCGCGTATAATTATACCCTAAGCAACAGGTTAAGGCGACGGCGTATTTATTAGCCATCAAAAAATATTGATTTAACAAGGTAAGTGAGCACCTCACTTCGGAAATATCCCATCAAGACATAAATTTCTATTTTAATAAACAATGTTATTTCTTCAGTTTTCAAGATATAATTACTATGAAGAGCAATTCTGGAAATAAAAGTAGATAATAAATAAAACAAATTATTATTTAATTGTTACTTTTGAACCAAATATTTATTTAACGTTTTTATTCCTAACAATGGTTTTAGTAAATTAATTTGCAACTCCCTACAAATACCGACATTTGTTTTAATTTATATATATTTTTTATGGCTCCCCTAGCACGTCACAGAGAACATTTAAATTAATTAGGCATTTCTTGTATTTCATTACCCAAATTAGTCACGTTTTTCATATTCCCATGCGACTTTAGGGTACATTGCCTTTTGGCTTGGTTCTCTATTCGAATTAATTCCGTGAATTTTGTCGGCGGCCAAATGGCAACAGAACTTTAAATGGCCTCCGGGTTTTAAGCGGACGAGGAGGAAACCGAGTGGAAATAGAGGAGCTGCTGACAAGGGTTGGCCCAAGGACCAAAGTCCGTTTTTGAGCCGCGGGCAGAACAGCAGAAAGCTTTTTCGGCTAATACTGATTCGGAAAATCCAGCTGAAGAGGGTAGGGAAAATGAAGGCAGGGAAAAGGCCCAACAAATGGAATTGAAAATCGCAAGAAACTGGGCGTGTGTTTCCTCATCATCGTCATCGTTGTTGACATTTTGTGCATGTCAAACGTGCAATGACACCGAAAGACACTAAACTAAGACTTCTACAACTGGAACAGACACGAAATAAATTGTATGTAACCTAAATATAAATAAGAATCTTTTGATTGTTGCAACCGCGTACTTTGAACTCTAAATAATATATATATTTTTCCTTTCTTTTCTATGTTAAAAAAAAATTTGAAAGCAAATAAATTCTTAAAACTACGTATAAAGCACCTGCCGAATCAGGTAATGATAGTTTTATATGTTCTTTTAGAGTATTGTTATAAAAAAAAAAAAGAAAAGTGGGGAAAGCGGAAGCGTCTCCAAGGTATCAACACACTATAACAACAAAACGAAACACGAAAATAGGACACTGCACAACCTGAAGCGGGGGATTCACCGCTCATTAATGGCCAGCCAACATGCAAACAAAAATGTTT